GGGGAACAGCTTTTATTTTTTTTATTTGCACATGGATGGAGATGAACACACCTTTTTAATAGCTTACAGATTTTATAGCTGTGGTATATCCCAGAAATATTTATCCACTGTCACTATGAGTCAAAGAGGGTAATTAGTTGCCGGGGGCTGGTAGGAAGCAGTACATTAATGCTGTTACAGCAAGAGAATGCTTGTGTGCATGTGTATGCATAGTAGAAGGGTGGGAAGACAACTGTAAAGTGATACTGAAGTGAATCACAGTAGACATATAAAAACCTACTACCCAAGGCAGATCATGTGACACGTACAAAAAAAAATATTACTAGATGGCAGCAGGCAGTATTCCCCATTTGCTTGTGCATTCCTCAACTTTGGGAACTTTGCGCATGTTTATCTTTGCATTTGTGTTCTTTATAAGTCTGGCTGCTTCAAAAGGTACCTAATTTTCTACTTACAGGCTGATTCTGCACCATTTGTATGGTCCAGTTGTGCTGCCTGTGGAACATAGGGCATCTTCTCTGAGTCCTGCAGTAGCTTCAGAAATACCTTTCATGAAATAGGAAAAAAATAATTTAGAATCCATTTTCTAAAAACTACTTTATATATATATGTCTCTCCCCAGCCATCCAGGTTGTCAGATATTAGTAGTGGCTGCTGTAGCCACCCTGCTGGAATGACTATAAAATTAGTCAAGGTCTCCAGCGGACGAATCCTGGGCATAAGGGGAAAGGAATAAATGCCAACAGATCCAAAAGAAGCTATGCAAACCATTGTTGGCCCATGCACACTTCTATCTGCAAAGATATTTCAATAGACTGGCTACCCTTGACTGACATTTTATGCACCTGAGCTGTGGAACTCAGTTGCTGCAGTTTTTACCAAGAGCGTATTGACAGCTTCAAGTCTCTTCTGATACTCCAGCTAGAAATCTGTGCGCACAACTGGAACTGCTACCAAAGAGTTCTAGTCGTACTAGCACAACTAAAGCTAATGTGCAAAATCCTACAGAACTGAAAATCCACAGAGGAAATGTCCATAGATTTATGCAAGCATGCAGGCAATAATGCTATTGAAAGACATTTAAAGGACAATACAATCAGCAGGCACATTCCACATTAATAAAGTCCTGTTTAACTAGCACTGTGGAGAGGACTGGGCAACAGCGCATATTTTTGTATTATAACCATTAGCATGCATACGTCAAATTGGGAGAAAATGATAGGATCCATTACCTGAAATCACCGTGGGAAAAAACAAAATTATTTTTTTACAAAAGTAACAATCTAAAAATCTGCACTAGAGTAAATTTGTAAGGGTTGGATCTTCTTAAGCAGAGGGACACACATCAGAGGGGAGTTAAAGATAACATTTTAAAAAAACAGCAGAACTCACTAACTTCATAATCATGAGATCTATTTAAATGGTATATACACTTTGCCAAATAGCTTTGTGTTTGACCTACTATTTCTTGCTTAATCCTGTTTCACAGTTCTGTCCACATAAAGTCCTTTGAATTTCATAGGGATGTATTTCATTTATCAGTCCCTCAGCCTTGCAGAAGCTTGGAACAGCTTTCATAGTGAGTCAGTTATTAACACTCACCCCACTTCTTGTAAGCTCAAATGAAAAATAAAATTAACGTTTTCTTATCTTAACCTGAACTGCAATTTAAACAGTGGTCTAGGAACTTCAGATAAAAAGAAAGAAAAGAAAAATCAACAGAAAATACAGCTACCATGAACACCTCTAATTGAACAGCAAAAGTACAACCAAGTTTTGTTTTTTCTTGATGAAAGCCTTCTCTTGCTTTCTCTTCTCTGTTTGCGTTGAGCTGCAAGACTTAGATTATAACTACAGTGCAACTTTCAGAAATCATTAAGAAACCATTTATTTCTTCCCACAAAAGAGCCTGATATCAGCTATAGCAAAAAATTCCTTGTTTCCAAGGAGCTCATACAATAGACAATAAAAAACAGTCAATTTGAAGTACTTTATAGTTGTGGAAAGATATTTCTTAACTTGCTACGGTCTGACTGTTACATAAACCATATTTTGCTTAGTCAATATAATTGCCATTTAACAGTGGTTATTGATTGCATTTGTTACCTACTAACTTTCAGGGAACACTTTTGGCCATTAACAACTGCAAGGCCAGAAGAAATTAATATCTCCTGACATTTCTATATTAGACCCTGGAGGGGGATCCCAAACTGCCCAAAGCCACATTCTAATTTGTTGCCTTAGACCTGCTTGCTGATGGCTCCTCTGCACACCAATTCTGTCAAGCAAACCAAGCTTATTCAAGGAAACTGAACCGACTAAAACCACAAAGGAACTGCTCCTCTCTGGCTAGGACAAACGCTACACTACAAAATGTTGCCTGCATATACTCAGTTCAGTGTCAAAATTCCTACTGCGGTTGCAGACAGACATTTTCTTCTTTAATCACGTTAAGTCACTCGAAGAGAGGATGTAACTATGCCTTAAAAAAGAAACAAAACCACCAATCATTTTTCTAATACATACTACTGTAGCTTCACTGACACAGCTATTCTGATACAGCTGTAGAGGCAGAAGGCTACCTGCATTGCCCAGTCGTCCCCCATAGTATCCAGGCAGCTCTCGAACATCCCATTAAGGATGGTAATCATTAGGGACCATACTGTACAGAAGAAATGACAATTTATCTAGTATTGCACAGGATATTGTGGACAAAACAGGATATTGTGGACAGAAGTAGCATTTCCTGCACCTCCTCTAAGCTGTACTAGACAGCTACTCTCTGATTTCTTTCTGATTCCTTCTTTGGGACAGCATCAGAAAAACAAGCCTGGTTCACTGATACAGTGGACAGTATCCTTGACACTGCACTGTAGAGCATGGGGGAGAAAACAACCAACACCTATAGACAGTCCTTTATCATCTAAAACCACTGACTGATATTTTAGCAACAATTCTGGGCCCTCCTATCCCACAAATCGCATGTGTATCCTAGGTATTTTGCAGTGGGAAAGTGTTAATTGCTTGAATTGCTTGCTGTCAGTTAATTTGTAACAAGTATCTGCAAAAAGAGTAGTCAAAATTGTGTGTGGTAACATATTAAGTAATTTAAAAGCCATATAAAAGTCCCTGAAAAGTAAGCAGCACATAGAATTAGGATCACATGGAAGCAGTGTTTAACATTTTCCCAACATGTTTTTGTAGACCTTTTCACTAGGACAGACAGACCCGTCTGAACATATCAGTGAGCACAGAGCAGTGCTAAATACTCATTGTTCCATACTTGAACCACTGGTAACACTCAACCAAATACTGAAATCTGAAAATCTCCCTTTTAAGAAATATTTATGTTCCACTTGGGAAATGTGTATATTCTGCATAATTCAGCATCACTGAATTTTCTTCAGTAACTGAGCAGTACTAGGGCAAGTATCCCTAGGAAGATTCTAAGTTTTAAATCTACATATGTAATCCATGTTTTACCTTAAATAACTTCCCTATGCAGGAGCCAATTTTCCTCTTACTACATTTTCTGTTCACGTTGTTTTTGTATTTTCTTCCAGGCAGTCCATGCTGAGTATAGCCTTCTGTAGCTACAGGCCTGTTTCACTAAGCAGAACAATGCAGAAGCAGTCTTAGAGCCATTCACTGTGGATGAGTGTTGACTGAGGAACTTTTGCAAGCAAGTCGATGGTTATCTGCTAAATAGGAACACTTCTGACAGTCAAACTTAGATATACACACACACAGAGGGAGACAGACACTTGGCACTGCTCAAAGCCATAGGAAGAAACTCTGTAAGCTTTTGAGGAAAGTGCTTAAAATAGGTAAGGAGTAGCATGGTTCACTTCCAGCACTTGCGCCTGCGAGCTTGCTCCATGCCAGGCCCTGAAGGGCCGCCACGGATGCTCTTGGAGATGGAGAGAGCAGGTAGTCGTGCTGGCTGTTGAGAAGGACTGCCCTGCTTGCAAGCAGCAGCCAGTGCCCTGTCTGCTTCTTTCAAACCACCAGATTGTCAGTAGGTATAGGAAGTGCTTTTTCCCTCTAGGAAAAAGGTCTGGCCAGATGGCAATACTACAGTGAAAAAGATTAATATGATTGTGCCATTATTAGATGTTGCTAGAGCACTCTCAACAAAACTGTTTCTCATTAGAAGCTACATAGTGTTTTAAGGCTAAAATATTTAAGGAGGTATATGGCTTTCCCTAGAAAGTTTTGGGGCAAACTCTCTGGTCCTTTCAAGGAAGAGAATTTAAAGTAGTACTCCATTAACAGGTATTTTGATGCATCTTATTTTGCAAAGATGTTTCAATGGTTTTGTTCTCTCCTCAAAGCAAAGCAAGAAAGCAAAAAGCTTTGAAACCTCCAGAGTTGCCAAAAAGTGAAACATCGTCCTCTAGAGAGCTCTCAGAATACACTTAATTTAACTAACCACCCTTCTATCCTCCTTTTGCTTCTGCTAACATTCTTTGGATTACAAGCATTGTAAAGTACACAAATACAAATGGTTGGAAAAGATATTTAAAACCTAAAATGAAGCAAATATAATATTAGTGAGATTTGAAAGTGTCAGGAACTGATTTTGTTAGAACTTCAAGATTGCTTTGAAGTATGAATGGAAGCCTGGTTTCCCTTGAACAGTAAGATTTTTAGAGAGTGTGAGTGTCCCTCAGACTGAAAAAGAATAATGGCAAGTGTATGAGAGAACAAAAAGAAAGGATAAAATAAAAATTATAACACATTTCCTTCTTTAAAGTCAGAGTTCTTTGTTTCCAGATTGAATTGTTTGAATAGACTATTCGATTATGTGCTATCCATTTAGTTGCCAATGCAAAGAGGGTTTTGATAAGAAAATGGAGAATTGAGGTTGTAACAACGACTAATGATGAGATGCAGAGATGACAGAAATCACCTCAAATTAATGCATTAAGTCTTCAAGCTGAAGAATGATACATCAGTATCTAATATCACCTTTAAAGCTTTTTTTTAACCACCCCTGCAGAAAACAGCCAAAAGCAAGCTCTAAACTGAATAAGAGATGCAGCACACTGAGGAAGCTTCCTCATGTTCCATGACAACTTCACATTTACTTTACAGATACCAGTTCTGGAAAGTCCCATGATATCCCACAGGGACATAATCAAAAAAGGTTCTCAATATATACATTACCTCAGAATCTATAAAGTCTGGCAGTGAACAGTATTCTTTCTTACAGCATGTTAATCACCCTATATAATTTGAAGGAAAATAACAATTTTTCAATAAGCTTTTTCAATAAGCTTTTGACTTGCCTTGTAGAATTGTATAGCATAAACATAATTTACTTTATAGCATTATGTAAAATGTTTATTAAACTTGTATGATTTATGCCCCCCCGGCCCTTGCCATAGCAAATGCTTGCCACACTAGCTTTATGTACTGTGATCATTTATAAGAGAAAGACTGAAGAGATCCCTTTTTTATTTTTTCCTTTATAAGTAACTCAGTTGTATAGAGCTTAAATTCAAAGGAAACCACATACTTGTTGGTAGGTCATTCTTTGGACTGCAGTTTAAAAACAAATGTGCAAAACCAGATCCTTTATGCTTGTGCAGGGCCCTAAAAACCTATGTAGCAAATCAATATAGTCCTAAAGATGTCTCCCAATGGACCACTTCAGGATACAGCAGCTCCACGTGGTGGCGTATTGGTTCAATAAATTCCATGAACAATTGTCATTTTAGGTTTGCTTGCATTATTGGGGTTCTATTTATATTTTTTCAACAGATTATATAAAGATGAACAATTCTAAACTTGCAAAACAAACTCAGAACTGCTGATGCAGTTTCAAATGTCTGACCCCATTAATTCCCATATGTCTAGCTCACACAGCAAAAATACAATGCATAAGTGATGTCTGACAGGCCTTAAAGTGTATCATCTTCAGAAAACCAGGAAAGATGAGCATCTTCCCTGGGGGATCTTGTGCTCCAGCTGACCACAGTACTACATCATAACATCTCATGCATTTCCAAGGAAGAGAAGGAGAAGGGATACACCCCTGTTCTATTCTAAGTATTTATTGCTATATATATAAAAAATATCACTTTACAGGAATCTGCATTTCATTATTTTTGTGGGTTTTTTTTTCTAACGTATCTTAAATTTTCTGTAGAAAACAGTCCAACCTTGTCTGTCTTTAACACTATAAAGTAATCACTGGAGAAATCAGTTTCACAAAGTGATACTGAATGAATTGTGCCATCAAATAAAAATAGATGTGTTTTGTGCATCAAAAAAATACTGACATTAGTCTCCATTCATCATGAAGAAGTGGAAAGAAAAATATATTTTCAAAAGGATCTATAATACGGGACTTGAACATTGGTAGTTTAGGGAATCTTGATATTTAGAAGTTATAGTCAAGACAAAAACAGTCCAAGGAAAATAACTTCTCACTGATATGGCTATTTATACAGAGCTAAAATCAAAAGTGATGAAGCAGCATAACAGAGTCTCTTTCTCTGGTCCATTTGGTATATATACACACACATATATGTGTGTGTATATATATACATATATATATAAATGTGTATATATGTTCATATATACATGTATGTAAGCGTCTCTTTCTCTCTCTCTCTAGGTATACACACAAAATACTCTTTAGAGATTTCCCCACACAGTTTTGCTAAGTCCTAAGCTTTAGAACTTTGTAAGTCAGAGAGTATTCTCATCAATTTTTTTTTCCATCTCAAGAGCTACCTGAACTGAACCTCCAGCCTTGAAGTTCAAAGCTCATTCCAATGCTAGAGATCCAGGACAACAACAGTGGTTTTCATTAAATCAATGACACTAAATTTTCCTTAACTAAACGCAGGAACAAACATTTAAAAGTTACACAGTTCCTCAGTGTTCACATCGGATTCTTGAAATAAGTCATAGTAGAGTGGGTGCTGAAATTAACAGTACAACAAAACTATAAAGTATACATACATTTTGCCTGAGGTTTTTTGTTTGTTTTTTTTTGTTTTTTTAGGAAGCATGCTTCTCACAAGAGACTGTTGTGGAATATGAAAGATCATATATACGAAATACAAAAGAGTAGTGGAAGCTAATACAGGATTCTCTAACCAAGAAAATGCCATTACACAGAAAAACTGAAAGTACCTCTTCCAAGGTGGTGTCAGAAATGCCATAGCCAGTCACATGCAGATGATGAAGGCTTTGATCTAAAGCCTGAAAAAGACCTTTTAAAGACGTCTCATCTGCCTTTTCTGGAATCACATATGTCAGCTCAGTCCCACTGTTCTCTTTCAAGAAGGCTTCTGGGATGTGGGTCTGTACCAAAGATGTGACCCGAACAATATGCTTAGGATCCTGGATTTCAAACACAGAGGGCTATGAGGAAAGAAAGATAATCAGGCACAAAAAAAATCAAATGTTACCAGAAGTATGGGACTTGATAGTAGAATTCATACAGGAAAATTTCCATTGATGAAACTGAATCAAACCTGGGACACAGCGACTACTTCCCAGGAACAAAGAGCACTGAGACAAAGCCTTTTTCACAGCTAAATATTGAAATTCATTATTTTCAAAGATGTCATTGTGTTCTTCTAAATAATGATAATAGTAATAGTAATAATAATAATACCACCCACCCAAAACAACCAATAAAGCTGGTAAAAACATGTTTTGCTGGCTCTCTGATAATCTATATCACACATTACTTCCTGGCAGGGACATACGGCTCCCTTAGAATATACACAGCTATTACTTGTCAGACACTGTTAAGTCCTGTACAGTACATTTTTAGTATACCTTTTTTATGAGCGTTAGACTGTGTCCCTGGCCATATGTTTCTCTCAGATAAGAGGGAGAACCACAGCACCTCAGCTGGCCACGCTGCAGGATGGCAATGTGATCGCTGAGCAGCTCTGCCTCATCAAGATGGTGAGTGGTAAAGATCAGTGTGCAACCTGCATCAGAAAGATTGGTACATGTCTACAAAACCTGGTTTCTAGAGAAACACATCTTGCTTTCACGAGGGTCCTTTAACCTTAAGGGAACATGTTTCAGATCCCTTCAAAACAGAACTGCAAGACACAAACAAAACCCGCGTTCAGATTTACAGTTTGAGTTAGATTCAGGTCTAAACTTGCCTTGTATTATACGTAGCAAGCATTATTAAGCCATTACAACTTTAACCTCGTTTAAGAGCTTAAGAGATTCCTTAAAACCACATAACAGTGTCTGTTTCAATGGATCATTCACTGTGAGCTATTCCAGCTAATTGAGTGCTCACTAGCTGAAGAGTTTGCTTCCCGCAATCAGGTTTTAACCTTATGGCACTTAAAAAATTAATGTACCAAACTGACTGATGAGTCTATTTTCATTAGAAGTATATATGCATCTATATACAGATATGTGCAAAATGGGAAATGAAAACCAGAAAACAATTTTGAGACGCTAACAAAAAAGAAAAAGGTAAGAGAAGAGAAACTTTAGGACAGGATTCAGAACTAAGATCAATCTTGTGTTAGATTGGGCATCTTTCTGTGAGATAGCAGATAATTCTTGTAATCTCACTTGGCTGCTTTAAAGTTTCCCAAGTTTGATTAAATGTTACCTCTGAAATTAATGTATTTAGTTACTGAATAGGAATACTAATATTCTGACCATCCTGTTTAAATTTATTGAAACGGGATTCCAGAAAGAAAAATAAGCAGCAAATTATGTTTATAAGCTTTGTACCAGCTTTGTACTTCAAAAGAACATCCCAGATGCTACGGCGAGAACATGGATCTAGTCCACTGGTAGGCTCATCTAGAACAACTGTCTTTGAGTTTCCAATAAAGGAGATGGCAATTGACAGCCTCCTTTTCATTCCCCCAGAAAGGGCTCCAACAGGTTTGTACTGATGTTGGGATAAATCCACATCTTCCAGAGCTCTGAAATGGGAGTATAGAAATAGGACCAATTTTGAAAAAGTTTTTCCAGTCACATCATGTCCACCCAGAGCAGAATTACTGAAAAGTCACTGTAAATGGAAAGTGAAAAAACCACTACCTCTGACTGATTATACATTTTGGTGACAAAAATGAATAGAAAAAAAAAAAAAGAACACTCTACCTACAAAGTATAAACACTAATCACCACCTGAAATACAAATTCTTAATAAGTATTGTGCAGGATAAGAACAGACAATTTTGAAATTAAGTCCAATAAAATAAATACGAATTTGTCCAACAATTTCAGCAAACTCTAGATTATGGCCTCTTAAACTATGGTAAGATAGTTAGTTTCATGACTTAATCAGTGCTTCAGTTTTTGCAACCACATAAAGAACCTTAAAAAATGCCTGAGTTTTTAGGAAATGTGTAGTCAGTTGAAGTAAATAAGGTGACACCACTGCTTTTTTTTGCCCCCTTTTTTTTTTTTTAAGACATGCTTCTGTGAGGTAAACAGATTAACGATCCCTAGGTAGAATAATACTACCTAATCTAATTCCTGTGTTAAGGACTGGAATGTTACAGACATTGCCTATTCAGCCCTCGCCCTCTGATGATCTTGCATCTGAGCAGTGTGTGGAAACATGCTCAATAAAGGCAGCACTGAAAGACCATCAATTTATTTTTCATCACATTGAACATCCAGTCATTGACCTAAAAGCTTTCAGCCTGGCAAGCAAGACATAAAACGCTCAACAGTCCTAAACTAATCTCCCGAATCATTTGAGTGAATATGCAGTCTGTAAACCACGCCATTTACCCTAAAAGAATTTTCCATTTTTAAGAAAAGAGGTTTCTATAATTGTTGTATAGATATATATCCAGGAAAATTATTCTTAATCTCCTTAGAAGCCATCTTTTTTTGCTTAATAAAAAGCAAAATTTGTTTCATTGTTTTGTTGCTTTTTTAATTTCTCTGAAGTATTTTAAAGCATTCATTGCCTTTAAAAAAAAATAATTTTTTCTTAGTAGCAAGGCCTGCAGAGTCCTGGGTATTCTTAAGTGCCATTAGTATGACAGACTGCTGCTGAAATTGCAATTCAGCAGTCTAAGTACAATAAAATACAGGATATTATTTTGCATAAATTTTAACCAAACACTATGTTTGGTTTGTCCTTGTTGTTCTAGAGAGTTGTTCCTGTTGTTTCTAGAGAGAATGCAGTGTCCCACATCAGAGACTTTTCAGATGAAAATTTTAAAGTAACAGACTTTTATGATAGCTGCTAAAAAGGAAACCCATTTTGTGACAAATGTGTCTGCATATGCCTAATTGTACACTTAAGGAGAAGTTCCATCAACTTGACATTTATTTCCATTGAAGCATGGAAGTGTCCAGCCCTCCACACAGTCTAGTGTGAATCAGAAGGTAAACAAACTATTTACACTGCCACACTATTAGAAGAGCATACATTTTATTTCTGAAGTTCAGAAAATGCAGTTTGCTATTAGTGAACAAGAACCCACCTTGTATGGTTTACTAGTAGTTTAATATACATGACGCAAAAATGAAGAAAATCTAGTCCTATATCAAAAAAGTAGCAGCCTAAAAACACTAGCAAACATTCTCGACCTGACAAATGGCAAATCCTCTGAGATCATGTCAGAGCTCTAGCTTGTTTTTCCTATTGGATTGTTTGTTTTTAAACCCTTTCACTTATTAAACACATTTAACGTCTGAATTTGACAAAGAAAAAAGATAATGGCCTATTTAAAAAGATTTTAACAAGCACTGCCTTTACCTGCCTTTTCTGGTTTTCCAGTGTTCCTACTACTGCAGGTGAGGGAATACAGGATAATAAATACATAAAGTCAGTGTTGACTTATCTGAAAACTCAGGGCGAACACACAGGAATTTACTTTCTATCTGCCTCTCCAGCAAGAGGGAGGTAAGGCAAACAGCGTGAGGCAGGAACCACTGTAGCTGCTACCAGGGTAACCATCTCTACTTCAGTCAAAACATGATTATTTGATGGTTCTGTATACTAGATTTTTAATCATTGACAGTTTCACTACAAATACATTCAAGTAAAGGTTAGAAACTAGGAAATCCATTTTCAAGGCACAATTTCAGAACATGAAGTGTGATAAAAACTCATGGAAAACCTGCAGTTTCCATTCGCTTCTACTTGGAATTTTGCATTAGCACTTTGTTTGAGTGGCTTGCAAGAGACACTACCAGTTTATTTGACAGACTTCAACAAAAGAAAGGAAAACTTACCCACTGACTTGCTGATTCAGTTGTTCCTTTGTCCAGCTAGGTGCCTTCACTGATGCATAAAGCAGCAGATGTTCTCGCACCGTTAATATGTTGAACAGGACATCATACTGTGGGCAAACACCCAGCTCTGTCCTGATGGCAGCCAGATCAGTACGTATGTCCTTTCCATTAATAATAACGGTACCAGAGCTCGGTGGATACAGACCAGTCAACAGTGATCTGATATACAAGAAAAGAAAAAAAAAAAATTCAGCAAGATCATGTGTAATGACTGTATTACATAGCTCACACTTGGATTTCCTGAGGCACGTCCTAGCATCCTTAGAGCAACACCAATTCAGCTAAGCAATTATAGAAACACCGTTAATATTTTGGGTTTGGGTTTTTTGTTGGTTTTGGTTTGGTTTTGGTTTTTTTTTTTTAAAACCAAGATCTCAAAAATCCTTCATTTCCTTACTTCCAGAACAAAACCATTTTTTTCCCAACCAAGTATAACAGCCCATTGCTTCCTTTTTCATGTGTGTATTCTAGCTGAGGAGTAATTCCTAATAGGGTCCCATCTTCCATCACTGGTTTTATTACAGATGATCATAGTTAACATAAAGGTAGAAATACATAGACTTCTTAATTAAGACATTCTTAAATGTCATTTTTATTTTATTATTTTTGTTTCTGGTCAACTGCCAAGAAAGAAGTCCCTTGCAGCCTTTAGGAACAAAGCACAAAACCTCATAAAACTCCACACTCTCCATGTGATAGGAGTACACATGGGATGCCAGAAAAGAACACTTTCCTGAGGTATGTTTAACTCCACAACTAGACATGTCCAGCTCCTACTTAAGTTGCTTCTAAACTATGACATCATGGTTTCAGTAGCACAGAGGACCCAGTTCTCTGTTCATTACATTGCTTTTGTTGTAGACACATAGCTTTCGCTTTCCATGTGCTTTGGGGAGTTTATTAAATAATTATTTGGAAAAAAAAAAAAAAAGACATAGGAAAGAGTTCACAAACATTTTCAGGTGAGAAAGCACAGCAGAGACCAGAGGGGAGTGTAACAGCATTAAATGGCAGTCTTACATGACCGTTGTCTTGCCAGCTCCATTAGGTCCCAAGAGCGCTGTTATCTGACCTCTGTGGAAGGCGAGGCTGAGATCTTTAATAGCAGCCTTCTGGCCATCCATGTGCTCTTTGGTGAGAGACAGCAGCATGACACCAATGGTGGCTCCTTCGACGCAAGGGCCTTTCCAGCTTGGAGGTGCTGGGTCTGTATGGGGAAGAGCAGCAGATCAAGAGCATTGCTGAATCTAAACATATGTGTGTGTGTGTATAGGGAATAACAAACTGAGATGACCATATGATGCAGATCAAGTTGACTTCCTTTCTACGTCAGGAGGAAAGGTTGGCACTACTTTCCCAACATAAGCACAGTCAATAACCAGCCCCATAAATATATTATTAACATGTAATATTTTATTGACTCATTACAACTGAGAAATCCAGCAGTAGGATTTTTTTTTCTTTTAAAACAAAGGCAAGCCAAATTGGAACGTTAGTCCGAAGAAATAGAAACTGTTATGGATGAGAATTATGAGAAGAGGGAATTATCCTTTTTAATATGTATCAAAATATATATGTTCATTTATAATATTGATACTTTATATTTTATGTGATCATTTTATATATAATTAAATAAAATTTAAATAAATATTACAAGATATAATTATGCTCTCTATAAAAATATATAAAAATCATATAAATCAAATTATACATAAAAAATTATATCATAATTTCAAGGATTGGTTTGTTTAGGCTGGGAATGAAGAATTTTTTTGCTCCTTTCACAATCAGTTTTAAGTTTAGAAAGAACTTTTGCCAGAAGCTTGAGGTTACCTTCCAGCAAGGCACTACCAGCAGCTGTGACATTTCTGAGGTCCTTCTACCCATGAACCTCTCTTCCCATTAGCTTCTCTGTCTTTTGGTCTGGAGACTAAAACCACCAACAAATATTATTAATGGCCTTTCCACTGCTTCCTAAATTTGCAAGTACATCCTGGAACTTAACAAAAAAATGTAAAGTACCGAGTCTCAGACAATGTATCTTGGGTAAGATTCAGAGGACAAGCTCCAAAATACTTGGAAGCAGTAAACTGATTACCCTAGGACTTCTCCTAAGAGAAGTTCCAAGTGGGTACTCAGCACCCAGGTCTCTGCCAGCCCTAGTCTAGTCGTAGTTCCAGCTTGTAGGACTTATGCTCCAGCCTTTCTCTGACACACCTCTGATTTCCAAAGCGCTTTCCACGCCCACTGAACATATATATGGAACAAATGCAGAAATTGCCCGGGAGCAAGTCACTTTGCTGTTCCAAGCAAATTATCCATAAATGCATTTATGCCTTTATCAGTACAATAAGAACCAATTCTTATGAAAAAGAGCAAATTCTTTTGCCTCCATGGCAGTGTTAGAGTTCACACACAGGCAATTTGCTACTGAGCATGTGATGTGCATCAATTTAAGCAGAGGGGAAGTTAGACAAACAGATTCACAAAGTTGTAGGCAATCACTTGGATAGATTGAGTCAGAGACCACACTAGTAACTTTTCGGACATAGGAGAATTTTTTTCTTCACTTTCCACAGAGGATGTAGTCAACCCAAGGGGAAACATTGAAAATCTTCATTTTAAGTAAGGACCAAAGACAATCATCTCAACAAAATGGAATTGTTCCAGATTGCAGAAATTCAGACAAAATTAATACTGACAGTTTTTTCACAAATGTTTAAATGAACCTCAAGACATTTTGAAGTTTGCCCTACTCTAGGAGATACCAATACATAAAACTGCTGAGTTGTTCAGCTTCTTCACCTATGCTACAGACAACTGGATCATTTCCAAGCTACTGTAACTTCCAAAACATAACAACCCATCATATTGTTCTAAGGCCCAGGAAGGAATATAAGTGAGGGTGACTTACTCCTTCACTCAAAAAACATAAATGAAATGTGAGAAAGTCCTTAAAGAGACCTGAGAGGGGAAAAAACCTAAAAGAACTAAATTAATTTTAAGCAAGTGAACAAAGAAATAGAAGACCAGTGAAAGTATCTGAAGGCAGATAAAAATTAATTACAATAACAGTAGCTTTTTAAACAAAAAGCTAAGAAGCAAAGACAGAAAGAACAGTGATTATATAAGAGGGAAATAAGAAACAGAAGGGAAAGAAATGAACAAAGACAATTTTTCCACTGAAACAAGAAGCAAATAGAAACAGCAGAGGAGAAGGAGGAAGAAAATCAAACTGCAGGAAAAAGAAAGTTAATAAAACACAACACTTTTCAGATTCAGTAAGAGCATAAAAGGGTCCAAGCAACTTCAGAAGATCCTAACAAAGCCAAGAGGTAATACAGAGGGACAGGATGAACCCAAGAGATACTCATTTTACATTTTTTAAAAGAGTTTTCTTAAATATTTGTGTACAATAGTTTTAATTGAATGATTCAAGCATTACAGGTGACAGCACAATTAACAGTTAGTATATAATGTTCATAGTATACACTATATAATGGAGGAGAGAAAGGGACAAGATCTAAACACATAATATAAGACCAAGCAACAATAAAAGCAGATTTATCAAAATCAACACACCATTCAGAAAAGAGACGTTATTAAAATGCTATTATGACTACAAACCTTTTTCTTGGAAGTTTTTGTTGAAGAAAACCATATTAGAACTCAGATAATATCTCTTCCTCCTCTCTGCACCACACAGGTTCTTCCAGTAGGAAACAGTAAAGGGAAAGTACCATCGGTTCTTTAATCCAAATTTTCCTAGATGATAATTATGATAGAAACTGTTGCAAAATTTATAGTCATTTCATACTTGTTTGTGGACTACTAATGTCCTGTCATTACTTACAAAGAGCTGGTTAGACCATTTAATTAGCTCAAACTCTTAGCTGCACTTAACAAACCTTAATAAAGTGGAAAAAAGTCATTTGGCCATAACACCAGGTCCTGCCATAAAATAATCAATCCTTGGTGATACTGTGCTTTACCCTATCTCCAAATCAGCTTTAAAGTGTAACAGAATCATAGACTTAACAATACGGAGGCACAGCCTAACATAATCTTGTAACCTAGAGGAAAGAAAATGCACCAAATGGCCTGCCAAGGCAAACAGCCTTTATTATTATTATTATTATAACAATAATCCATTGCACCAATCATTAAAGATTATTTTTCCATTACTATCTGCACAATTTAAACAAATCAGCCAGCATAAGAAACATTTATTCTAGCACACAAACAGAAAGGTCAAAAATATGTTCCTACACACAACCTAAACTTTGGCATTGCCCGATCTTTCTAGGCTTCACTTACCAATCACACAATACACTCTCTGTGTGTTTGGAGTTGCATTTCATTGACACTGAAGGGCAGGTGTCAATTTAAGCTAAAGTTTGTAAAATTCAATTGTATATTCCACACAGCCCTATGTTTCAAGGCAAAATTCATTTTTAATTTTTAAAACAAATACAGAGCGGCTGGAAGAAAAAGTGACATATGCAAATCAGAGGAAAGGTAGATTTCAAACAACTAGTGAGGCATTAGGCTACAATTAAAAATGCTTCAACCAATTCAATAATATTCATAAAACTTGGTTAATGAAAAAAAAAAATCCCACTACTTTCTGAAAATATACTTGAAAGTTAATTAGCTTTCTTTATGCATTGGACTGTGGACTGACTGAGAGCAAGATACAGTTACCAGACAGTTTGAAGTCTTTGTGATATGAAAACATGTTGTTGTTCATGGGTTTCAGCCCAAGTACTGACTTAGAATATTCACCATTTTCACAGGAAGTTTTGCTACTAGACTGAGCTCTGTTACTGTGAAGTACCAACAAATTGCTAAGTCCTTCATATATTAATCATCCCGGTAAGCATACAAAAGATATTTCATGCCTGGCTACAAATTCTAGTCCATGTGTTAGCACTACTCAATATTTATGTATATAGGAAGACTTTCTAACCCAGTCCCTAAAGGCAATCAGACAGTTTTACACATCAAAACCTCAACTCAGAAAAAGATATGTTTTTTTTTTTAGTTGCATACAATGAGGAAAGCCAATTCTACCCATTCTATTGAGTAATTTCTTCAAAAACATGAAATAAGAACAACACACCATGATCTTACCAGGAATAATATTGCTGAAATACCAGCCACCTATAGAATATAAAATGGAGTCAAAGAACATCATCCAGCACATCCATCCAAAGGTCATGTATCCTCCTTGTGCCGTTGACTGGTGCACGTTATTCCACTGAATTCCTGGTAGTAATAGCAATAATAATGATTTTTTAAAGGTCAAAGCTAAATCAGTACAGCATTAAAGATCACAAACACATCAACGCCACACACTTCTGGGTATTTAGGCACTGACACAAAAAAGACCATAGTTAATAACAGTAATCCTAATGAACAGAAGTGAATTGTTATGCCTCTACAAGCCTCTGTTTAGAACAGCAGGTGACACTGTTGCTGACAAAATGCAGAGAAGCTGTTGTAGAAAGGGCTGTTTATGAAGTTTTAGCTGGCCCCTAATTTGGCAAAAGAAAAAGAACTACGACTGACCAAATGGGGCACTGACCTCTTCAATGAATCAAGCTTTATGCCATTCTGCTGATATTATAAAGAAATGGGTTACACAAAGTTCAAAGTAATTTCTATAATGCTAAATCTGAAAACTTAAAACTGCAAATTATAACTAAGAAGCAAGTATTTGTGTGCAATGACTGTATTCAGAGGTAAATTGGAACAACAAACTCACTGAATAATTGCTTCCTAAAATTATTAAATTGCAGAAGACATGAAAGGAAGAAAGAAGGTACAAAACACTAGAACTACAGAAAGCTACTATATTGCTAAATGAAAACCAAAAGTAACCAAACTGTAGATTTACAAAAAGCATTGCATTTTTTTCTGAAAATCCTACTTTGTTTGCAATACAGAGGTTCATGATATTGTTTCTAGAATTCTTTTTCTACGATTGTGAAGAAAAGCAGTTTTTCCACAAAACACGTTTTGCCCTTTCTTTGGTAAAGATGAGTAATTTTGATGAAGCGTCTGGCGGGAAATTTAATATTTTCTGCAACTGTCTCTTCCACTCTAACCAACTTTTGTATCATTATTATACTTTTTCAATGTCTAGTGGTTTGAAACATCCACTATCACCAATATTGATCTTGCAGTAGTAGTAAAAAAAGAAAGGGATTACATCCCCTTATATATTTAGATACATAAATGCATATCCCTTGTAGACATTTATCAAGGGCCCAGACATTCACTTCTTCCTTTTCTAAAACTTCAGCATCGACAGGGGTAGCTCTTAGCCTGGGGATAGTAGGGATCACCATCTTAAAACATGTAGCAACCTCTTAAAACATCTAGCCAGTTTCCAAACATTTTTTTCTTCCCAACTCTTAAACATAATAGGCTGTTCTCATTCATTTCTGCACCTGCACAGTAGCTCAGTGGGGATTTCACTAGCTGCCTCCAAGCTCGCAAAGGCAAGCTGCTACTCAGGTTGAGTACGAATAGGGTTACACAGGAGAAACGTACAAAATACTTTATAAAGGTAATTTTTTTCTTACTTTGCAATGTATAATAGTTAAATATTCATCTTAGCGTTATGTTGAGAGTGAATGACTTGCGCTGTTCTTGTTCTGTACAATATTGTTCTCCTAAACCTCCATTGTGTTATACACTAGTGCATGTGTAAGCCCAGACACACCTACCAAGCTCAAGAGTAGTCCAACCCAATGAACAGGAAGTCAGGTAAAAATGCCAGGAGGCCTGCATGGAAGAACAAGGAGCTCCTGGCCAAACTAAAACACAAAAAGGAAGCATACAGAGGGTGGAAGCAAGGACAGATAACCTGTGAGGAATACGGAAACATTGTTCAAGCATCCAGGGATGAAGTTGCAAAAGCTAAAGCCCAAATGGAATTTAATCTGGCCAGGGATGTCAAAGACAACAAGAAGGCCTTCTATAAGTACATAGGTGACAAAAAGAAGACTAGGGAAAACATGGGCCCATTGCTTAACAAGACAGAGGACCTGGTTAGACAGGATGTGGAAAAGGCTGAGGTACTGAATGCCACCTTTGCCTCAGTCTTTACTAGCCAGTCTGGTCTTCAGAAATACCAGGTCCCAGAGACCAAGGGAAAAGTCTGGAACAAGGATGATGTACCTTTGGTGGAAGAGGATCAGGTCAGAGAATACTTAAGCAAACCGCACATACATAAGTCCATGGACCCTGATGGGACACACCCAAAAGCACTGAGGGCACTGGCAGATGTCATTGCAAGGCCACTCTAATTGAGATTGATCTTTGATCAACCATGGCAACTGGGAGAAGTGCCCAAAGACTAGAGGAAAGCAAATATCACTCCTAACTTCAAGACGGCGGACACAGGGAACTACAGGCCGGTCAGCCTCATTTCGATCCCTGGGAAGCTGATGGAGCAGCTAATCCTGGAAACCATTTCCAGGCACATGAAGGACAAGAATGTCATCAGGAATAGTCAGCATAGCTTCACCAAGAGAAAGTCATTCTTGACCAACTTGATTAAACTTCTACAATGAAAGGACTGGCCTAGTAGATGAGGGGAGAGTAGTGGATCTTGCCTACCTGGACTTCAGTAAGACTTCTGACACTGTCTCCCCTAAGATCCTCCTAAAGAAGCTAAAGAAGCACGGGCTGGAGGAGTAGGCAGTGAGGTGGACTGCAAACTGGCTGAACGGCCAGACCCAGAGGGTGGTGATCAGTGGCATGAAGTGTAGTTGAAAGCCAGGAACTAGCAGTATACCCCAGGGGCCAATACTGAGTCTGATCCTGTTTGACATCTTTGTTAACGATCTGGACAGTGGGGCAGAGTGTATCCTCAGCAAGTTTGCCGATGACACAAAACTGGGAGGAGTGGCTGATATGCCAGAGGGTCACGCTGCCACCCAGAGATGCCTGAACAGGCTGGGAAAACAGGCTGACAGGAACCTCATGAAGTTTAACAAGTGCAAAGTCCTGCACCTGTCAAGGAACAATCCCATGTACCAATATATGCTGGGGGATACCCAGCTGGAAAGCAGCTTTGCAGAAAAGGACCTGGGGGTCCTGGTGGACACCAAGTTGAACATAAGCCAGCAATGTGCCCTTGCCACAAAGAAAGCTGATGCTATCATGGGATGCCTTAGGCAAAGCATTGCCAGCACTTCAAGGGAGGTGATCCTTCCCCTTTATTCAGCACTGGTGAGGCCACGCCTGGAGTACTGTGTCCAGTTCTGGGATCCCCAGTACAAGAAAGTCATGGAGGTACTGCAGAGAATCCAGTGAAGGGCTAGAGAGATGATTAAGGGACTGGAGAATCTCTTCTATGGGGAAAGGCTGAGAGAGCTGGGACTGTTCAGGCTGGAGAATAGAAGGCTCAAGCAGGGATCTTATGAATGTACATAAATACCTGAAAGGAGGGTGCAAAGAAGAGAGACTGAGACTCTCTTCAGTGGTGTCCAGAGACAGGACAAGAGGCAACGGACACAAACAAACACAGGAGGTTCCCTCTGAAGATCAGGAAACACTTTTTCACTGTGAGGGTGACTGAGCACCAGCACAGGTGGCCCAGAGAGGTTGTGGAGTCTCCAGCCTTGGAGATATTCCAAGGCCGTCTGGACACAGTCCCAGGTAAGCAGCTCTAGGTGGCCCTGCTTGAGCAACGGGAGTGGACTAGATGACCTCCAGAGGTCCCTTCCAACCTCAACCATTTTGTGATCCTACAAAACTCCTTGTTGATATCCTCTCCAGAAAGCAAGCCTTAGACCTGCCACTGACATCAATGAGGACTTCCAAGAAACTGCTCTAAATATCTTGCCAAAGCTTCCTCCACTGGACTGAGAAAAATAACATATTAAATGAGTGAAATAATATTCAGTCAGATGCTCACCCTTAGGCAGCTCTACTGAATTTCACTAAATATAAAGTCTGCGTTTGCATCTCTAGAACAATTTCATTGGCTGGATACACTCATTCTGTCGTCTAACGGGATGCGGAGTTTTTCCTCCAACCTGCATTGCAAATAGAGCAATGGTAAACCCACTTTAATTTACTGCTAGAAAGCAGCACAAGCTTAGCTTGGTTTTCAAGGGACATTAAAAAGGTTTTTCTCCTGTTATGATCCATCCTATTAACTCATGATTAGAGACTTTTTTCAGAACAAAGTGAAAAATGTTTCCAACTGTAGTTTTTTAAATAATAATTACAAAGCTTTTCTTCTAACCAGAGAGCTTACCTATTTCTTGGCCCTCAAATAATGTAATGAAAAATACTCCTTGCCCAAAGGCAGTTGTAGACAGAAGACACTACAACACCAAAGGAGAAACAGGATGTGAACATCAAATAAAACACATCATTAACAACCTCCATGAAATAAAAGCAAGCACAAAATAAATAGATCTTTGTTTCACATAGGCTAATAGTCATTATTTCCTTTTATGTTTTAATAATACTCCCTCACATACTGCAGTAGTATTTGTTCCACCTTAAAGAGCTCCACTGACCTAGTTATTAATACTGGAAAGCATTATTTAACTTTATAACAAATTATAAACCATCATAAACTTACCACATACTGAAAACATATAACGTATAACACTGTAAAAGTATGCAAAGGAATATATTTTCTGTAGTAAGAGCAGTGGTCCTACTCATTTTTATAAGACCAGAACACAAGAAGAGACAGAAGGAACACGCACACGGGGTACTATATGCTGACCACAGCATTTTTGTGCAAGGAAGTAAAATTTTACTTCCAAGAAGCAACATAGTCACGCTGTATCACAAAAATACAAAATGGAAAATGAGCCAGTTAGTGAGGTAGTACAACAAGGAAGCGTGACTGGTGATCAATGGAAAAACACTGGTGAGCTCATGAAGGCTGATGGGGAGATCCAAAACATTACTAAAATTAATAAGCAGTGATAAAGTTCTGCAGTTTTAAAGTGAGCTGAAATAGAAGTTCATTTTAATGCAATTAAATAAGGTTTCTGCAATATTTGACACAAAAGGAACACAGCCTGCCAGCTGTCTGAAGAAAGAAGTACGACCTTAGAAAAAAATTCAAAATCATTAATGGCATAGACTACATTTTTGTACAGAGAAGTTCATGCTAATGCCCATCAACTGAGTCCCTGCCTCTTACATTGCTAAGGCTTCACCATCTCACTTAATAGTCTCTTCCCTCTTTTCAAAAGTTTTTGCCTTTTTCACATGCTGCTGCCTCTAATTTTCAGCACATGCAGAACACCTGAAGAGTTACTTTGAAATAACTGATTTTGAAGTGTGCACGTTATCTGATGCATACTTTTCCCTCTCTGTGGCCCAAAGGAGGGGAAAAAAAAGCAACAATATAAAAAAAAAAACCAACCAAACAAAAAATTCCACCCTGCCTATTTATGCCCGAATTCTGCAGTCTTACATCTGTGCTTACTTGTATGCAAAGAACCAATATATTTTATCTGACCAATTGACACTGAAAAAGTGTCCATTTTTTAATAGTGTATGAATTATTCCGCCAGCTTAATTTGGTACGTGAGTTATTTTGACAGAGTGAAGGCATAACGTGTGAAATATGGTTTGCATTGTACGATGGTGATATTTGATGTCCCAATCAGGAATACAGTCTGTTAACACAGAACAAAGACATAAAACAGCCTATGGCATACAGAAAAAAGGAAAGGTCATGGAGAAACCAATGCCAAAGAAATGTATATCTCAGACTGCATAGCTAGGTAAGCACTAAGCAAATTTCTGATTAATCCCCAATTGTACTCAACAGAGGATTAATCACTAATTTTCCCGCAAACAAATAATGACTTTCAAGAGCAGCATTTCATCAGATATCCGTATATTTTCTGTAGGTTTACAAAATTTCCCTGAAAATTTATTTTTTATTACTTTCTACATTCAAAACATTTTCTCAACTGGATATCTGTTAATGTGACTTATTTCCAGTGAAACACAAAAGCAAACAGAAACCTGGGAAAAAATAAGTAAATTGTAGTCTAAAGTTTCAGAACTATAGAAATCCACAGCATGGTTGGAAGAGAAAAATTACAAAAGGAAAAGAAATATTTACCATTATAATCTTGTTGGTGAAACTCAGCTGGTTCTGCAAGACCAACAAAACTATGTAGGGTAAAAAACTGATCATGTACACAAGGCTGGCACATAGAGCTGCTGTATTGGCACTGCTAAAAAACGCTGCCAAAAAATAGCTTAACATAATAACTGTAACTCCAAAATCCAGGAGAAAAAGGAAGATGAGGAAGCCATTGCTATAAGCAAAGATACCACTTGCTTTTAAAATGATGGCCAGAACACAGCTGCTTATTGTGAGCACAATGACGTTCTCCAGAAACCAAGCAAAGAAATGAATGGCTGGATGTACACCCATTGTCTTCATATACTGCAAGACAACACAGTAAAGAGAGTTAAAGCTCAGAAACAAATTTTCTTCTCTCTTTTTTTTTTTTTTTTTAAGCAAAACATGTTGCCACCAAGACACTACCAGATCCCCAGAGGATGTCATCTTCCCCTTAAATTATTCACTTCTTTTCCCTTTTCCTGTGCTACTCCTTCTGCTGTTTTCTCCTGGATCAAACATGGTTCTGAGCATAGCTGTCTCTGAGCTTATCACATACTAACACAAGGAATCCCAGTGCTTGGGCACAACTCTCTCTTGCATAGGGTTGCAGGACCATATGTCAGATTGCCAGGTCTCCCAGTGAGGAGCTTGCCTCTTTATGCTCTAAAAAGTACTGAGGATACCTACAGGATTGTATAAACAAATGTTTTTTCCCAGACTGTTACTAAACTAAAAGTAACGTATGGATATGTTTGTAAACCTTTTTGTATTAGCATGCAAATAATAATTTAGCCAGGTATGAAGTATCACCCCTCTGTTTTTTAAAAAAATGCTTTTGGAAACAAGCTAATACTACTTCTGAAGCGTTTTTCATAAGATAATAAAAATTAACTTTATTAAATTGATTTAATATTTTAAAACATTAAAAAAGGCCTATCTTACAGCACAAAGTTTAGAGAAATGAGATAATTTCCCAAATTTAAAAAAAGATTACCCCAGCAGTATAAAGACCAGTATAATTCTTCAAAAAAAAGTATATTTATCTAAACAGAAAATGTATCATAAAACCCCTTGTCCTTCCACATGCTTAGCATCTGCTAAGACTAGCTGTTGATATAAGCAAATAATAGTCTCATTTTTTCTATATCACCCTCCATTATTTTTCTGATAACTACACAGTACATGGCAAATTTTTAATTTGGTTTAAGAAGTTTCATCATTTTAGAGCACATATAGTAAAACATGAAAAAGAATCCAAAATAAAACCCACCCTAATCAGAAGGATTTTTTCCAAACAACAGTTTCCAGCTTCAACTTTTGTGGAACCTTTGCTTATTGCTTTTTGTCTCAGGGAAAATATTTGCATACTAAGAGGACTGATGCTCAAACAATGTTGTGAATCTGAGCTGGCAGCTAGAACTAGAACATACTGCCCAGAAGAAACAAGTGAAAGCAAAGCCAGCTAGACATAAAAGTACCTCAAAGTTTAAATTTTGTATTTCAGTACACTTTAATAAATAAACTTTATTTTTAGAGGCTAATCTGCTTCTTACCTCTTCAAGATTAATTTCTCTTTCATAGACCAGCTTGCGAACCATGCCAGCAACTGAAACCATCCATGTTAACATCATCATAAGGGGGAAAAAAAACCCTATATTGTTCAAGAATCTATGAAAGAAAATATACGCAGAGTTGTTAGCCCCCAAAGGTAAAATATTTTTTAGCAGAATGTTAATAGGTGAATACTGGGACTATTCTCAAATTACGCACAAAATAAGATCTGACATGATCAATAAGGCTTATTCTTGTTCAGGTTAGAATTGCTTATTTTTCATGTAATGAGATAAATATATGTATTGGTACTATAATATTACATCAGTATTTGTCAGCAATACAACTGATGTAACCACTCTTTAGGCTCCATTCAAAGTCAAACAAAATCCAGATTTGTGTCCATAGCAAAGTAATATATTTGGACACTAAGGAATAGCATGAGCCAGTCAACTTTTGCCCCACTTTAACAGATTTATGACCACTAACTAATTTTAAATTCTAATAATGAGAATGTTTTGATGGCTTTACAAAGAATAATCCTACTCTTTTTCTTTTGCTTCATCAACTTTACACTGTATTTCAACCCATACCAGGGACCAATTCACAGTTTGTATACAGGACAACTAAGGATAGAAAGGGGGTTTCTTAGCATAATCTAAGTTAGTTGCACAATATGTTGACACAGTCTCTGTCCAGCAGACTACTCCACAGTACAGCTGCAAACAGCTCATAAGGGGTCATTTGCCAGACAGAAGTTGCATAATGTGTTGTGGTCACAGCTGTTAAACAACATTTGCTATGCTGTAATACTCTGGTATCGGACGTACTGGTTCAACCCTGTGCTGAGATATACATTCACCCACTACAAAGACCTAGTAGCTTCCCAAGTCCTCTGGCACTAACCTAGTAAGGATAATATACTGAATTAAAAAGCTGAAAGTTTACTTACAGATCACTGGTATGACAAGGGTAAGGCATGGCTTGCACCTGAATGGCTGGCTCCGAGGTATCTGTCCCCGTCTGTGCTGAAATAATTGCCCTTTCAATCATGTCTTGAAGAGGAATAAAGATGTGGTTGTATTTAAACCCATCAGCTGGCAACTTCTGGGGATGGGATTTCCACGCTGGGTTTTTAATCAAATCTGTTCTCATGCTGTAGAGAACACTGGTTCTAATCGTATATGAAATGTGTCGTGGAAGGAGATTGCTAGAATCTTGTGTCTTGTTCTTTGGTGTATCGAAGATGATACCTGACACAAGAAGAAAAGGAGTTTCATACCCAAGCTTATACGATTTATGTTATTTACATAGCTAACTCATGGCCAATTATCATATGATAGTAGGATACATTCACCTGTCACGGCAGGCCGCTACAGTTTCTTGATCCCCCAACACAAGAATGCTAGGTTTCATAGAGACTTACATTTTTTACATTCATGAATACAAAATGTAAAAAATTATTCACCTGGTAAATGTGTTTGCAACAATCATTTTTATCTGAAAAAATTCCTTCTGTGATTTGTTTTTTTGAATTGCGGTTTATTCTCTTTGTATCCAGATTTAACCCCTTTTTGGGGACTGATCTCAATTTCACAGTGAAAGCAGTGGCCATAAAATTTGTCCATCAAAGGATAACAACCCCTGGTGGTGAAGTAAACAGTACCAACACAGTAAAATTTACTCTGATTTTTAATTTCTGAATCAATTACGAAACTTTTGTTTTAGCACAGAAGAATTTGCATGTTAATTTTCTCTAGCTTTTTAAAAAAAAAAAAAAAAAGTAGATGAAAATTTAATCTGTAGCTGGAAAGATGAAGTCAAATACAGCAAATTGGTTGTATTTTCTTTCTGGATGACCCAGACTTTTTAAGCCTTCTTAATGAACGTGAAATGTTGACCTTTTTTTCCTTAGGAAAGGGGAGACATATCTTACCTACCACCTGCTTTCTGAAAGATAATATGATATAGAATACTTTGATGTAAAGCTTATTTTTTCAACTGGCCAATTTCATTTTCCCATTTAAGCAAACATTTAATTTCCTAAGACATTTCATGAGACTATGAAAACTTTGAAGACTACAAACAAAGCAAGCAAGGAAAATTCCACTTTAGTTTCATATCTTACCATGGAAAGGAATGTATGCCTATATCTGAGCATGTAATATTGACACATTGGACACATTAGGTCCCTTAAAATGCCATCTTCCCTCTTTAAGCATGTGAAGAGATTATAAAGGCCACAGTACTGAAAATACTCCTGAAAAATATCTTGGCTTATGTTAGCATATGACCCTTCCCTATGTAAGTGGAAGCAAAATGGATCTAGAACTTGACAATTCAATTTTCTGAGGGCTAAAATCTATCTGTCTGTTTCTTCCCTTGAAGGGGCAAACAATTTCACTCCCTATGAAGTACTCCTGAGAAATTTGCCTTATCTCATGGTATGGCCTGTTGGTTTTATATTGATGGAGGGTGGTCATTTCCACATTCTGCAAATGGGGGTACTGTGCAGGTTACAGAACAAACGTAGGATTCCAGACTGAGAAGTTTCATTCTCTAGAACTGCTTTGACGTGTCTTCTGTTGTGTACTTACAGGAGTCCAGAGAGACAATAAAAAACAAAACAACAGGGGGGAAAAAATATGTGGCACACTTTATGTAGACTTAAATAGAGCTCTCTTTTGGAAAAGCTACATACAACTTAAAGCATTTTATGTGAGAAAAGAAAGTGTATGTAATAAGAAAAACATTCTTGTGTTTTAAACTCTTTTGTACAATTAATTAATTCTCAGCAATAAAGATATAATGCAGGAAAAGGATAGAGTGTAATCCCAGGGAAGAAAAGAAATATAACCGTTGCTTAAGAATTTATTTACTCTGAATAAACAAGTTAATTTCTCTGAGGTGTTGGTTTAAGAATAAAACTTAACAAAAAAACCCCTTTCTTTCCTTCTTTTTGCAAAGCCAAGAATATAAAATTAAAATTCAAAAGAATGTAAACTGGATGATCTTGTCATAATAAATAGTTAAGTTTCCTCAGTACTATACATCTTTCAGCTCTTTTTATTCTACTTTAAACATTTATGACTATTCTTTTCAATATTTTGTTAGAAACAACAGACTCCAAGGATTAATTTGGCAGTTCCACAATTGAAGCAACAATACAAGTAGTCTTTACAGCATATATTACAGTATTCAAATGTTAGGGTATACCTCTAAGGTAAATGTGCTTTATTTTTCCTATGTTATATGCGTTTTAATACATACTTTGAAACTGTGTAAGCTTAACTTACCTTATCAATAAACACAGACAACATCTACAATGTCTGTTGTTTTCGGTCAATATACATTTTAAATACAGTACTTACTAGCCAAAAAATTATTTTGCTGCATAAGTTCATGAGCCTTCTCCTCCAATTTCTCAACAGAGTCAAAAGGCTGGAAACGGTCCAGTAACACACAGGAAGAGATATTAACTACAAGCTGTGACAACAGGTCAATCTGTTTACTTGCTGAGCTGTTAAGCATCTTGTTCATCATTGTTTCTAAGATGAGGAAACAAATTGGGCTTCCTTAGTTTTAATGAACAAAACAGAAAGGTACATTCTCACTTGCATATCCTATAAGAGTAAATACCCTTTGTATTTAAAAAAAGGAAGAAGTTTTAAAAACATAGGAATTTTAGTGTGAACTTGTGGAAGAGTAGTTCATGTTTCAGTGGCTTTTACAAGTCCTCAGCTACATTTTCCTTCAATTTTAGAGCAAAAAAAGTAACAAATTCCAGCAAAGTTCTAGAAAGAGACCATGTCCTTGAAGGGGTAGGACTTTCAACATTTCCTTATCTTTCCATAACTACTCCTACAGATACAAGCAAGTTACTGTACTTCGAATATCACAACAGAGATCCATCTCTTTCATCTAGTAACGTATTAGCCAGTTCTTCTCTCCTTGACACTGCAAACATTTCAAGCACTTTGTTATATAGGGCATAAGTATTTTGACTTGAGCCCTACATTTAAAAAGCATCTGAATAAAGCCTACAGGCCCTCCATTTTGACTTTGATCTTATGTATGGATCCAGGATGAATGTATACCTCAACCAAAGCCTGGTTTCCAAAACCACTGAACCTTTGGAGGAATTAAGATCTTCATCCATTGGTAGAGAATGTAGAAATAGTGCTATATCTTTATGTTTGAGAGAATAACAAGAAGGATAGCATGATCTAAAAACAGTCTTAACTCATCTGGATTTAATGGAAATATCTGAATTTCTCAGGTAATAAACAATGTTATGAAATATCCAACAAAGGTTCCATCTTAAATTTTTCAAGACTCACTTGAAGATATAGGCTTTAAAAAGAATAGGTGATGACCTCATTTCATAACAGTGGTGACAGACAAACCCTCGACCACAGATGTTATTCAGTGTCAGCACAGGAGATACTACAATAGGAAGGTAGATAAGTGGAAAAATGTATGGAGCAGTCTGAAGAAGAGATATGATTACCGGTGATAAAGGATAAAGATCACAAGGAGAAAACAGAGAAACTGATAGTCTAGAACCCAGAAGACAGGCAAGCAATGACAAGGTGAATTCATGGGTTGAGAGAAAACAGCACCAAATGTAGATACTATAAGTCTTATTTACTGCTATCCTTGAGGAGGATCAACAAAGGAAATACCTATGCTGCTACTCATTTTGTAGCATTAGAGAGAACAGAATATTCCTAACACTAAGCCTAAGTAGTAAGGTTAAGCTTTCAGATATATTTTTATATTTATATATATATATACGTGTGTGTGTGTAATTATACATAGCCCTGCATATATATACACACACAAAAAAAAAAATCACCACAGGTCTCTTCACCAGCTGATCTTTGAAAGACCTTAATTTGAAATCAATAATTAACTAAAAAAGCTTCTCTCTTATGAATTAAACTGTTGAATATTTTAGCATAATAAATACCAACTAGCTCTGCTTGCTTGGAGTACGGCATACTTAAATGTTTCTGGAAGAAAAATATTGTCTTTCACAATGTGCATGAACTTCTGTACTGTAGCATAGAAGTAACACATATATATGAACAGATACAATTCACAGGAAAGTTTTAGAATTAAGAGCTATAGAATCGCATATCTTGTATTTTTCCCATTTATAAATGTAGCAATTATGAATAAAAAACTCGGCAAATCTGTTTTCACTATTATCTTCATACTTTGTTACATACCAACTCAGCTCCCGTCTTCCACTTAGCTTGTTTAACCTATCATTAAGTAACTGGGAGGAAATATAACCATTTTATGTAAATCTACTAGGTAGAAGTGCTATTTAAGTAAAAGTTTGCAAGAAGAATAAATTGGAATAAACCAGCAATGAATGAATTTAGGTCAGAAATTAGGAGTAAGTTTCTAGTTATCAGGTGATTTTGGAGGTGGCACAGTGTTCAGTGATGATGTTAGAGCTATTTGTTTCCAGCTTTCTATAGACACATAAAACTATTTAATTACAATGTGGGAAGCAGGGGGGTAGCATGGAGGAAAGCTGCCAGTTTTGATTTTGTTTTTTTTTTTACCCTGGCTGTTACATCCCAGGTCACATGTAGCCCTCCATAAGGGAGATTCCTTGGTAGTGAAAAAAATACTTCACATCTGGGAGAAATCACAAAAGGACAACAGAGATACTCAGCAAGCAAGAATCTAAAAGAAGAGCCTGCAGCACAACTGCCTCCCCGTGCCTCTTGAGAGGTTCGTAAGGACTGTGCTCAGCAAGGAGCTCACAAGCTCTAGCAGGACAGGGTTTATATAAAATTGGAAATTATTGCAAATTGGAAATTATTGCAAATTGCTGTGTCGGAAAGCAAGCAGAGAGGAATATAGTTGCCTTGCCCACACAAAGCTAATTTAGAAAGTAAAGAAGGGTTTAAAAAGAAAACCACAAATTTTTCTGCCCTCAGTTAAATATTTACTTTGTTCCACGTGAGTAACACTAACACAGTAACTCTGTAAGAGTTTTAGAAGTTGATAACTTTGCAAGGTCTTATAGCATGATAATTTTATAGAGAGGTTGAAAGAGTTTTACATCAATCCACTCTGTGTCCACAACACTTTCCAGCAGGAGTAGCAGGGTGAATAACATGTCACTAAGACTGTTAACCATTTTTATAACATTGTAGCAAATTAAAAAAAAAAGATACAAACACCTTGGATTTGAGCATAATTAGAAGTCAGCATAATGTGAGTGTAGATGTAATAAACCAAGGGAATATTTGCTTTAGTTAGAAGACAAAATACATAATCACACAGATTAGATTATTATAGAAAACTTTAGCTTTGGATGGAAATAAACAGATTGTGAGTGGTAAAACCAATAATGTATATGGATACATTTAAGACTTTAATTGGATCCAAGCAAGATAATTACAGGACTAAAAAACTGGTGCAGTATAAGAGTAATGAAATTAAAAAAAAAAAAACAAAAAAAACCAAAAACATAACAACAGAGGTTTACAGTAACAACTGCACATGATGATAGACTAATAAAATGAACAAAAACCCATATACAAAACCTACATAAAGTTAAGAGGGCACAGTCACTTTTCAAAAAGCAAAGTGACAAAACAAATCTGTAAAAAGAAGTGTAATCAAAGTGTAAATGCAGAAGAATGCTCTGGCACTTTGGACAAATCAGCTTCACAAAGACATAAATGCTATTGTGATCTATAGCCCATATTGATTTTCACTTTTTATAAGATGTTAATTATATCGACTCTATTCCATTAAAATAAAGAAATCCTAGTTTCATAAGCCATTCTACTTAAATGATTTCCTGTATTCACCATCCAAGACTATTAACCATTTATTACATATTGTCAAATGTCCTTAGCTCTGTTAAAAAGCTAAAAATTGAGAAACACATGCACAGATTTCTGTGATGATGTTGCCTGCAACAGTGAAGATGGACCTGATAGCTCCAGAGATCTTGATACCTACCTTAATTAAATAGTTTGCCTATAACCTATCATGTAGTTCCCAGTGCTAGATCCAAACAAACAAAATCCACCTATTACTCAACTAATATATTGAGACAGCTGTTTCCAGCAGGCCTTGCAGTTTAAGAGACTTGCTCTTTCCTGCCTCCTATCTTTCCAATTGTGTGATTCTGTGGGGGTTTTTTAGTTGTATTGTGATCCAGCTTCACAATGAGGGGTGAGCTGTGCCTGACCCAGACTAGGCAACAGTTCAGTGATTAAAAAAAACTTACTTTCTGGATTGAATTCTGGACACCATTTGCCATTTTTCTTAGTGAAAGTGTGTGCAGCTAGTCCTAGCCTTCAAACACAGCCTTCAAATGAAGGCCAGTTTCGATTAAATCTCACATCCTGTGTGCAAAAGCCAGGAATTTCAGCTCACACCAACCATGACAGCACCAGCTCAGGACAGTAGTAAAAATTAAGACTGAGAACACACTTCATCATTTGCAAGCTCTCAGGAGCTTAAGTAGATTTTGTCCATCTCCTGATTAGAGGAAGGTGACAAAATCCAATAAGAGTTGCACTTCAGGTACATTTATTTGTTTGTTTTAGCTCTAGACTTAGTTCTTTGACTGTAGAGCAGACTTAATAACCTGTATTGCTGTAAAGTCCATTTTTTCCAGCAATGAGGGCCACACAGCCTCTTTATGGGGGCATCTGAGAGATCACCACTGCCCTCCTCCAACAAACAACTGGAACAGATTTGTGTCTGGCTCATAATTATCCTAACACTCACTGATAACAAAATACACAAATCTGTCCTCTCTACCACTATCCTCCTCTATGAAGCACCCAGCTCCATTTGTACATGATGTCACACTGTCTGTGTTTTATCCCACTTTTCTCTCTTTCTGGTCCTCAAAATCATGAACTTTTCTTAAATGACATTAGACTCTGCTTTGGTATCATCAATTCCTTCTGGCACATGTCAGCAACAATTTAATTATCATGCACCTACCCTACTGACAGCAGGACATATTGAATTTTTTCAGTTATCAAATTCTTATAAAATCTTTAAGTAACTTAAATTTCCAGCATATTCCTTTCTTTTCTCCTCCTTAATTCCCTGTATACCCAAAATTACTCATAAGCATCTCCTCCATTATAAACTGGTCCCCTTGGGATATCTGTCTGGCCCTTGGAGGGCGTAGTCTCTACTCCTGGAGGTCTGGCTGCAGGGCTCAGTACCAATGCAGAAAGAGTATAGCCAAAGATGGCTGTGACCCAGGGGGACACTGCTGGGCAGCCCCATGCAGACACCTGAGCCAAGGCCACTCCTTTCCCATCAGAGCTGCACAGAGCTGTGGCTGGGCCTGCCCCAGGCTGCAGCTCCCATCACTTCACAGCACGGCTGTGGACCTGGCCATGGACCTGATGATCTGGGCCCAAACCCCTACCCATGGGGTGATGTCCGGGCCTGGCCTCAGCATCGCCCCTATGGCCCTGCCTGGCCGACCCAGGTTACTCTCTACTGACCTGAGCCCAACCTTGCTACTCCCTGATTATAACCATATCTCAGGCTTTTCCGAGGCTCAAGGAGACAACTAATTCTCAATAAGAGGAGAAAAAAAAAATACATACAACGTTTGATTAAACACACTGTATCCAATCTTATTTTCTATTTATTTCCATTTCAAGTATATAGATTTCCTTCAAAATTTACTACAAAAATTTACTACTACCTAATGGAACTGTGGATACCAGGATTACTTCTCTCTTCCCTCCTTTTAAGTATAGCTCTTATGTTTATAACTGTCCCATGACAGTTTGCCACTTGTAATTTGTTACCAGATTTTTTCAAGTCTTTCAATACTTCGAAATGCATATTATCCAGTCACTCAGAAGAAAAAAGACAATTAGAAATATTTGAGACTAACTCAACAAAAGAATTTAAAGTCTGGTACTTTAGTATCATTCAAGTAGGTAAAACATTCAATTTTAACTGAACGTAGTTCTAAGTTCAAGTTAAAGTCTAATAAGGGTAATCAGTACATGCACTTTTATGTACATACCATATACTTGCATTTTTTTAATGAGTTTTTCCATGTCAATATCCAAATTACTTTCTATAAAGTGCTTTATGAAATTGCTTTGCAGTGCTTCCTAAAATGAAAAGTGTTAAACGTTACATAAGGTTTAATCTTCTCTAAAGAAGTGAAAAATATACATATGCATTCATGTTCAATTCCATTACCAAGACTTCCTGCATAACACTGGAGAAGTCACTTTGCCTCTCCATGTCTTCAGTCTTCCCCTCTTAACAGGTTAACTCCACACATTTTAAATAAACAGCAGAAAATATAGTCCCCATGGCTGTACAACACTGTCCTCCTTTACTGCAAATATTTTAACTGCAAGTCCATTCTAACGTCCTTGCAAGTCTGTTGGGACAGAAACCTATTTTCTTTTCCTGCAAGACTTTTGGGCCATTATACTATTAGCACTGGCAATAGTAAAATAAATATCTTTAAAAACCTGGCATTTGGGAATTCCTTTTGCATTATTTTAACTTCTTTACCTCATTTGCCACGTTCTAAGGTGGAAAAAAACCTATTAGCTCTAAAAGAACATCCTGGAATCTGCAAGTCTTATGCATGATTGCTAGCATGATTCCTTAATTGAACTTAAAAGTAACAGTTCAGTTGATTTGTGTGGGCCATGTCAGGATTCTGCTTATTTTCCCAAAGTGTAACAGCCATGCATGTTTTCACAAGTCAAATATGGCAAAACTAAATTTTATTGGGGAAAAAAAAGACATAAATATATAAAATGGGAAAAATCCCAGTAACAACAATGCTCTTTTTTTTTTTTTTAGACAATATTTCCCACATCTTTTTTTTTTATCAGTTGCACACATATTTTACTTCCTACAATCTTACATTTGTTTTAAATAAGTGTATAAAGCTTGTAGGTGTACCTACTTGTTTTATTTCCCCTGTTGCCTGGCAATACTGGACAGTGAGGTAAGATCGCTTTTAAGTATTCTCACCTCAGAATATTCTCAGTATCACACTGTAGGCTCATAACCTAAAGCTGATCTGCCTCTTTTTCAGCTCTTTCTAAACCTGAAGCCAGATAGATGGCCAGTTTCACATATACAGAAACTCTGTCTAGATCACATAGTAAATAACAGGAAAACAGGAAGCCCTCCCACAGTTCACCAACCTGCAGCCGTGAGACCGTGAGGACATTTCCACTGGTTTTAAAAACCTCAGACATCCTAAGCCATGTCTCAGAATAAGTCTTCAAGTTTTCCACAAAACCAAAAGTGAAATTAGCCTGGGAAAAAGAATATATGGAGACAAATGAAGTAAAAACTGTGCACATCAAGTCTTAAGAAACAGGAAAAACTGGCACACTTCAGATCTTCTGCAGCTCCCTTCCATTTCACTTTCATAGTCAGCAGTAAGGATATCCATGTTTTCTTTTTCTACTTAAGAAATGAAAAGTATTTATTATAGTCTCTGAATACCAAGCAAATCAAAGAAAAGTCTTCCTGCAGTGTGTATGTTTTCTACCTGAAGTATCATAAAGACCTCTTTATTTTATAATGTCTCTTTCATACAGAGTATCATAAAGGTGCCTCAGAAAGACAGTAAAAAAATACAATTAGGACCTATTCAAAAGAAAGCCTTTGCAGACCTTGTGGATCTTTCATTCAAACTACTTTGACTGAATATACAATGAAAGTGAAAGTTGGAAGCGTGGTCTGGACAATAAATTCAACTGACCAATCAATCTATTTCAAAAAACTCTCACAGAGGAAGACTTGAGTATACCAAAATATTCTCTGTCCCAGTCAAACATAAGCTACAATTTCTCTCTCAGCCACTGGCAAACAACCATCAATTTTTTTCCAGCCTGTTTTAAACAGATCACAAGTGTACTCGAGATTAGAAAATATTGCACTATCTTTTTGTTTAAATTGGTGTTATCAGTCACAGAAGTGCATTTAAGAACAATCCAGTATTGTTATTATGGTAGAGATCGTGACATTTCCCAGCAAAGAGTGTCTGCAATGAGTTGTAAACTCCAATTTGGGACCACGGTTTTTGCAATAATTCCTACTGAAAGTACACAATTTTTGCCATAGTATTTTAAGTGCTTTTTGCAAAATCCCACTCCTAGCACAACACTGGAAAACAAGTTGTGGTGGTTCATCCTTCCCATTTGTAGCACAGAAAGCCCCAAAGAGACCCTTGCAGATAATTGCGTTTTCCTGAAAGAATTTATGCATTTAACTTTTATGAGATTCCCCATTCCACTTTCAAGGGAAAGTGATCCTAAATGTTAAACTAAAGTTTGGTGTCAAATCAGCTGAACAAATTCTTCTATTAACAAAGCAACACAGAAACGTCATGGACCAAAATCCCAGGCCTGAATATCAGGATCATGTAACCCACTGTCCAGGCACAATGGTGATAAGCTGAGGGAGACCAGAAAGGCTGCAAGGGTAGCAAACAGCCAAAATGGTAGACTGCTATTTCCCCAGTACAGAGCAAGCACAGGTCACACTGGAACATAGAGAGATCAAATTTTCAGACATCATTAGAAATTGTTATATCAAGCAGCTCATAAGATCTGAGCTCGGATCTTAGTGCTTTCCTGACTTGATTCTGAACAGCACAAAAGATTTTTTTTTTTTTGTTGTTTGCCAAAGTCACTTTCAAAGAGCTATACTAACCATAATGCGCTTGTATTCAACCTCCTTATACAAACAATAAAAATAAATTAGTGCAGCAGCATGTATTTTGAAAAAATAACTTTATATAATGTGGAAGCTTATTTGAAAGAAATTAAAAGCAGGAAAGGGGTAAGCTATGTGCAGGAGGTACAGAGACTATTTAAAGCAGCATAGAGGAAACTGAACAAATACATATTACCTATCAAGAAAAGATTTGAGAAAGACTTGAGAAAGACCATATGCATGCACACCCACACTACACAGTAGGAAGCTATTAGAAAATATCCTTTTAAAAAATTGGTGTTACATCCAAATAAGAAAACAAGCAAAACTAGGGAAAAAAGGTTTTTGTTTAAATTTTTTTTGCTTTCTCATTCACCACAGTAGGCCTTTGGGAAGTTCCTGTGTCAGAAGTTTTCTACATGGAGAACACTTCAGAGACTGTCTCAAATTGAAGCAGTAGTAAAAAAAAGTCATACAATTTAACAAAATGAACAATAAATAATTTCTAGGACAAGATAACATCCAGCCAAGAATTCTAAGAGCACTCAAGGATTAAGTAGTTGAAGTACTCACTGTAGCGTAACCTCCTGATTAAAATTCCCTTGTTGTTAGGGAACTGGAAAATAACAAATGCAATGCTATTAATAAAAAAAAAAATGCTAGGGGAACCAGGAGACTACAGACTGATCATTCTGAAATCTGTACTAAGCATATTTTAATTTTGGTATAATAATAAATTACAATAAAGAGTAGTAGTGGAAATAGAGAATAGAAACAAATATAGCTGAGAGATATAAATACAGGATTTTAAAAAAGAAGTTGCCTCAGTTGAAGTTGAAGAACAAGCAAGTGAGGAAGAGGTTGTTGATGCAGAACATCTCAACACAGGTACTATGCATACTAAGAGTTTACATAAGCTCAAAAAAGCAAGTGGACAAATTATAGCAGTAAAGTCCTGGCAAGCCTGACCCTTAAGTTTTTGGAAGTTGGCACAGTATTGGGGGTGAATATCACTCTACTGACATGTTCGTCAGTTCTTGCCTATAAAGCCTTTACTGATTACACTAGGAATCAGAACCTAGGGCAAGATGAATGCTTAATCTTACATGGTAAAGAAATTCCTGTGAGTTTGTATGCTAATGACTAGCTGGACTTTGATGTTTAATAGAAATTCTCTTCAAGTTCTCTTCTTCCTAATCAATGAAGATCCATTAAAATAAATATTCTTTGTAACACATAGGCTGAATATTGCCTTTGATTAAAATTAAGGTCTTCAATATCAACTATGGTCCTGTCTGGATTGAATATGTCTAAGCCTTTTCCTGATGTAAGAATAAATAAAACGGTACTTTGAGCTTATTGAATTGCTTTTATAATGACAAATTTTAACAGGCTGACAAGTATGCTTCTGCAAAGCCAGACAGCATATGTAAGTTTACAATAAGACCTTAGTTAACTCATTATCAATTTTTCTAATTATACTAGACAAAAAGACAGGAAACTGAAATTAATGAATTTGCTAGACTAGTTTTCTTTCTTTCATTTCTCAATTGCCTTGCTATATTTATCTTTTTATATACATATACATATATTCTGACCGTTCCAATTACAAAGAAATAGAACAAAGTTGTCCTAATGTGATTACCTGAATATAAGATCAACTCTGAGAATCTTTTGAAATAAGAAATACTTTCATAAGATCAGCTTATCAGTGGCAAAAAGTCCAGTTGTGAAAGAAAGGATCAAAGACATCACACGTGGTCTTCGAACTCCTGGATGCCAGTCGTCACTGACCTTTTTTGCTCCCAGTCATCACTGCTGCCTGTATCTGTGATGTCATTGTTATTCTACACATTAGAACTGTTGACTTCTCAGAAGGTAAAACCAGCAACCTTACAACTTATCGAAGACTGGTCAATTACACAGCCTTGAAACAAAATAGTCCATGTGAAAAACTTACAGAATATATCTTAATATACAAGCATCAATGTTCTTTTTAGCTTTAATCCTCTACTTTTTTCTTCTAGTAAATAGCTGCCATGTGGTCACATAGTCTAAAGGAAATTAGAACTTCGGTTCCAATTTCAGTAGGAGATTTGGCTGTGTAAGGGCTACAGAGTCGGTTTTTAGTAGCTGTGTTCAAGATACCTGGGACAATATTTTGCATTTACATTTTCTTTCTGTTCAAGCAATAGCTGATAGGCTTCTGTAATAAAACAAATGAAAAAACTGTTGAAGAAACTTTTATGTATAAATATGAAAGTAGTAGGAAGAGATACACATCCATAATTGCTTGTTAGATCTACGGGTTTGAGAGAAGGGTGTGGGTGTATTTACACACATTCCTAAATAAGCTGTTGGAACTTTTGTAAGCCTGAGAATACATAATCAGAATGAGACGTTATGCTAGAGGCACCTACCAGAACCTTTGTATTGTGCCAAAGCATTCAAAAAAAACCACCACCACCAAAAAAACCCAACAAACACACTACGAACACAAGCAAACTTCATTCTGAACTATATTACTCAGTCTTGATTTCACAAAAAGATCTACAGGGGAACACAACACAGGTCAGGAGATTTATCTTTCTTACAGATGCTTTTAAGAATGTGGTTTTGGCATATTAATTGGCAAAATAATGTGGAAATGACTCAAATGCATTATTCTAAATACCATTGTAACACAGAATATAATTATGTATTCAAAATTATTTGGAAGTTTTATAATTTCTTACAACTCGTTCTTTATAGAATTTCCATGTATAAACACCAAGACCAGCTTCATTTTTAGCCGACTAAAAATTTAAAATAAATTATACTCAACTCCAGACAGATGATCTGTTGCCCAAATTAAGTTATTTAACTGCAAAATATGAAATCACTGAAACCTTATTTCCAATTCACAGCAGAAACTATAAAGTTACCTAGTATGTGCTTTTTGGCTTAGTTTTTTTATTATCTTTTTAGAACATAAGTCAGAATACCACACTGCACTCCATTTACATGGAAAATAGTTACCATCATATTTAAAGTTACTACAGTCTTTTTGTGTACCACTTACAAGCAGTAATGCTTTTTTCTAGATTTTAAATTAACCTAAATTACCATTATTGCAATAAGTAATAATGCAGGGTAAAAGTCATGTATTTGCAAAATAAATGCAAAATTTGCATGGAACTCTAATGTGTACTTAAAATAAGTCATCATCCTTCCTCTTACAGAAGTGCCTCAGAGCTAGTCATGAACAAACATGTCATTGTAGATAATCATGCTCAAGACAGAGCACCTACCTTACCAAAACTGCAGAGATGGTAAAACTGTTGAATAATATCAAGTCATCAGCATCCACACATACAGCAGCTCAGCTACTACTGGTCATTCATACTACTGGCGTTAGAAACATAATCAAGAAGGACGCACTGTAGGTTGTGGGTTTGTATTTTTTAAACAGAGCTCAGTGACTCCCTCAGAACAGGCTTCTGTTCCTGGGGTGTCCCTTCCCCACAGCTCCCTATGCTGCCCCATTAGAGTTCCCATCATAAGAAAATGTTGAGGGCAAAAGCTCACTCGGAATACATATATCCTACACCTTAATGCAGTATGATTCACATGACACTTCTGTTAATGTGTTCTTTTTAATCTTTCTAGACAAGGTTTAAGGGACTTTGAAGAAAATTCTGCTTTTCACACTGAGGTGAAACCACTGTAACAAGTAGGATAAGAGTTAAGAGAAATATTAAGCTTAAAGTGGGAAGAAGGTGACAACTCAGGGGACAGGGTGGATCCAGTTTTCTGAAAGGCAATTATACAATTGCTTCCACCTACCCTGAAAGAAGTGGACCTTTAAAATGAAGTAGAAAGACAAAATCAATAAAAAGAAATAGTTTTTCTTTTGATACTTACTTTCTCCATCACCTTGTCAATCATGTTGATGTTTGAATTGTACAGTATCTTCCCATGTAATAAAGGTTTCAGGAAAGTCCATAGCAAAGCCCCATTAGAAGACTGCAAAATCTCCTGATAAAGCTTCAAGCAGAATGGAGCTGCAAAAACAAAGACAGACTCACATTTAAGACAGTCAGCACAGGTGAGGCTGGATTATTATTACTTTTTTTAATTCAAAGAAAAGCTTGAGTCTTAATTTAGGATCTGCCACAGTACTATGCTAAATACCATCCAACTGCCGCTAAGCAATCACTACAGGTCCCTGAATAAAAATTGTGTAACCACAGCCTATGATAGTGTTGAGGATGCAGAACTCTAAACATTAGACAAGAAAAAAAAAAAAGAATCAGAATCCAAAGAGCTTCTCACATTTTTGAAAAGCAGCCTGCAAACCCCATCTATCCTAAAAGTTACATTAGTGCATTGTAGAGTGGAAGGACACATGCAAAACCTCTGCCCACAAAATGAATGCTGAGGGAAGAGTCACCTTAAAAAAAAAACAGACTCACTCCACACCCTTGGTTGTTCCATAGCTTTCCACTCCTACTTAAGAAAGAAATAGGAATACACAAGTTCTTTCACAAATACAGACTTTTTTATTTGTATCATTTCACAAGAACCTACCAAAAATACAGGAAAAATTGGCATGGCACTTCTTGATTTGAAAAACCTAATCAATTGACTTTTCCATTCCTTAACCAAAAAACATGTTCTTACATCAGATGCGGTTATGAATGCATTAGGGTGTATGTCCTTCAGAAGTAGGATCCAAGGAATAGGTTCCAAGATATCCCACTGCACTTGCACTCAAGTAAAGGCAATGAGTTTCCTGTGAGAAACATTTAGATTTTTATGCCGAGCTCATCTGTTTTGGGGCTTTTTATTATTTATTATGAATGGATTTAGAAATATCCTTTTTTCCAGTGCTGTGAGGAAATCTTAAATAGTGTCATCAGCTCCTCAAGGAAGACAAATTATTGTACATAATGAAAAACTAGGCCAAAAACATTTAAACTCCTGCCAGAAGTTAAAGAAACAAGTGTAAGAAATTTATCATTAAGAACACCAGTTCTTTGCCCAAATTTTTACTTTCTTTAAGGAAACAATCATTACTAAACACAATCATTGCTATACGACAGCAAAGAATTAAGAGGCTCCAAGCTGGCCAGTCAGAAATATCAATATGCTGAAGACACAGAAGACTTGCTAATCTGAGTTTGCTGTGATTTTCGGAAAGTCATTGGCAAGCATCTGGTACTCAAAATACATACAAGCTAATCACTGGGAAGCAGTACAAATCAAATTTCTGTGGCCTCATATAAATTTTTTTTATTTTCATTTTCCATTCTCTGATTTACCAATCTGTAAAATATGGGAAACAGTATTAATTCACTCATAGGAATGCTGGAACTAACTGATGGTTTAAAGATATTTCAAGGTCCTAAGGTAAAAGGTCTTACAACACTCCAGAGTTGTGACAATATTTAAAAAAAAAATATCATCAAGAAACAGTTAGCACTTCTGGCCTAAACAGCTTTGAACGAGACTAAGTCCCAAACAATCTCTCTGATAAGCCATCCTGCTAACTCCATTCTTCAAATAGGAAAGAAAAGCAGAGCTGCCTGCTTACTGCTGTCCCACACACAAGTGAAGAAGGCTAGGGCAAAGCTCTGGCTCCCTCCCAAGGGTCCCAGCCAAGCCAGTCATTTTCTGGCTGCAGAAACAAATAGATGATAGAGCCATGATTCACAGTCACAGATCCTTCCCTAGTGACACTCTGTCACTGTATTCTTCTCTTGCACAGGGCCACTGAGGCACTAACAAGGTTCTCAACAATATTAAAATTAATCAGGGTAAGACAAATGTATATTGAGGAAAGGAACCTCAAATGTATATTGAGGGGACGTGAAATTATATAAGAGCTAAAAGATTTTCTGTACACTTGATATAGAATAGGAATATCAACTATTAAAAAACTTATTTTATCCAGGGAGCCTGCATATTTTACTACACAACAATACCACAGCTTTGTGTTCACAGAAGAAAGGCATGCAGCAATAAATTCTCAATCTTGTATCTCAAAGATATATTTTTAATACCAGGTGCTTTAAAAATTCTAATAAATATGTCTCTAAGACAGGAATATTCTTATTTATTATTTGCAAAGATAGAAAACAACCAGAATCACTTGTGTCTCATCCACAATTATCTCATAGCCATAAAACTTTTATTGATCAACCCTTGTGCTCAGGATTACAGTGTCAACTGAGATGTCAGCTGGTATATAAACATTTTCATTTAAGATGGAAAAACTTCTCTAAACTCTGAATGCATACATGTAACTTGTGATTGGTAGTTTTTCTTACTTGAGTCTTCAGAAATGCCATATTTTGCCATGTTGTCCTCCAAGAGTCCCATGATTCTAGGCATGTCGATGAACAGGTTTGCATTGCTGAAAAATGAAGATTCTTCTTTACACACTGCCTTGATTACAGACTCCAGGGATCCAATAGCTGAACTTCTGAACTGCCCACCTTGCAAGAACTAGAACAAACAAACAGAAATACAGATGAATCAAAGTTGCTTTTAGTAGCTTCAGGGAGTAGCCCTGGTGTTCTCTCAATATTGGCATCCAAGGAGATTGACAAAATTAGACTGCTGAAACTGCCTACAAGAATGAGGGCCTCCTGTGCTCTTTTCTGTTCTCCTGATCACCTTCATCACGGGGGGGGGGGGGGAAGGTAATGCAGTTTTAATTGCCAGGATACTCGATGAAAGACAGTAGTATAATGTACTACATTAAACGTTGAAAAATACTGTGTATCCATTAGGCAGAAAAAGAATGAAAATATCAAGACAACTGGACTACAGATTCCTTGATTACAATGTCAGTTTTCACAAAGTCTGCTCTTCTGGTAGATTACTGCTGTGTCACAAAGACAGCAGAAACAACCAAAACCATTCTGCATATGAATGTTTGCAGTGAAAACAGTTGCTAAGAAGAAGAAAAATATTCAAGTGCATGTGCCCTAAAAGCCTATTTTTCAAGTACATCTTTTTAACTTGTTAGATGTGCTTCTCATTTTTGCACATCTTGAGTCATACCAGCATTTATTATTGCCATTTATTCATCACTACATGACTAGCATACGTCTAATGAGGAAAGCAGTCTGACTGCTTTTATGGCTTAAGCACCATGATTCACCACATTCCCTAAAAAAAAAAAAAAAATAAATAAAACCAGCCTCCTCTGTGCAGTTACATTTCTCAAATAACATGCTCAGTTGTAACTGGCATCTCATGGAAGGCTGTACAGGTGCGCAGTTCTAAGAGAGGATACAACTGCAAGGCAACACGCTGCTAGAGTATAACTGAAGGATGCATTGGCCCGCCTAGTACTCATTACTGTTGCAGATGTGTGTCAAGGAAAACATAACTAGACTATCAGATATCATTTGAAGACCGCACAACTGGCAAATAGAAAAAAAGACTGTGGTGTGTCAACAAAACACATTTGACACTGAAAGAAATTAGCATTTTATCATTGGAATTTTTTTTTTAACAGAAGAGTCAATTTTCAAAGTAGTACAGCACTTTACATAAAGAATAAATCACAGACAGTTTAGAGAGTGTGCCGTTAGAGACAGTTTATCCTGATCAGTGCATTTACTGAAGTGCCAGGTGCTTCTTTAGTAATCCTGGAGGAATATTAGAAGTGTTATTTAAAACTCAGTATTGGCTGCTCCCAAAATCTGACTTTTTGCATATGGTTTCAGCATACAGCATAGTAAATAAATAATATCCAGATTTCATAATACCATCATCTACAGCTCTTGAATGAATCTGCTGGCATGGACTTTACTGGAGGAATAAATTTTATTTATGCACAATGCTTAATAAAAGTGGGTTTGAATCCTTATTAGTGACTATTTGCACTAGAAGGATAAATGAGGCTTGTTTCAGTCAAAGAGCACAAACTTGCTAATTAATTCCGGTTCCAATCAAAATAACTTGAAATTCAAATAATGAATATTTATGCGGTAAGCTGCCACCAACAGACTGAATCTACTTACTGTCTTTCAACTAAATATCCACTGACTCAATAAGATATGTTTCCTAAAATTTGGCTTTGATAAAGTGGGAGAACTATATAGGATGGATGTTCACAAAAAGTTATCTTTGATCTAGTTGTTCTAGTTTAAACTAAATGAAGTAGGTCTGTAATCAAGGCTGATGAATCCAAACAAGCAGCCTCCTACAAAGAAAATAATCCGTCAAGCCAGTCACTCCGACAAATTCATGGAAGAGGAAGGCTGGTGATTAAAAAGCTATCTGGAACTGGACTCTCAAATGGGGGCAAAAACCTCGTAGCACAGGGGCTTCTGACCTAATTAAGACAGCTGTATGTTTAAAAACAAATTATGAATAAAAACAAATTCACATGGACTAGAAATATCACCTATTCAACAAAAGAAACATAAAAGTCAAGCCAGGTTATAGCTTGCACATAAAACTAAAATAAATTCAGAATCATTACGTTAAGAGAGAGGAAAAAAAAAAATGCAGTTTTCCTGGAAAACTACAAGGAGGTTAAAGATAATTCAAAATTTGATGAAACTAAAGGGCTAAAGGAAACAAATGCAGAGAAATAGATATTCCTACTTCTGGTTAGAGCCATAAACAAAACAAAGGCTTTATTGTACTGAAATTGACAGAATCAGGGGAAAAAAATGGCAAAATTGCTGATATGGTTAAATTATTTTCCAGAAGCCTATCAAATTTAGACAGCAATATTTGAAGGAAAAGTAGAAAATTCATCCATACTCAAAAATGAGTGACATAATGCACCAGGTAATAATGGATATCTCATTGTGATGTTTAATAGGGCAGGATGTAGAATAAATTTTAAAGTGAAGAGCAGTTAAAGACAAAAAAGTATGTGAGGAGTAGAATTTAATGCATTATCAAATTATCATTCCAGACTAATACAGTATATTTATGTGGGAAGGCCAGTGCTTTTTCCCAAGAGACATATGCTGTCTCTAAACTAGGTGAACTCTAACAACCAGTTAATGTTCTTGTCCTAGAAAACATTAATCAGCATTAATTCAATAACTATGTGGTGGGTAAAAAATGGCATTAAGAAGATATTGCAAGGACCCTGTTAAAAGGAAAGAAAACACTTGATCACAGAGAAGTTACTAGTGTTATTTCTGTGAGACTGATCTTAAGTCCACTGTGATAAGTGGTTTAGCTCTGAAAGAAGAAAATACTGAAATTTGCCTATAATTTCATACCAGAAGTCACTGTAGGAGAAAAGAAGATCAGAATACAATATGTCAAAAACCCAATTACCTAATTTAAAGTAAACTGAATATAAAGATAACCAGTGCAAAACATTATTTATCAACTGAAATCATGAGATGTTGTTATAAAATGGAGCTTACGTGGGTACATCACTGATCCTTGATCAAGTAAGAGACAAAAATGTATGCAGCTTACAAAAAAGGTGAATGCAAGATTAAGAAAGTCATTTTAGTAGGTATAGCCATGAATGAGCAGAACTACAAGAGTCATCAGCTGTAATTTCCCTCAAAGACTGTACATGTTTCTTGTCCCCAACATTCAAGATTAGCCTTAACACAGCACGCGAAGCTGACACTAGGATGTCTGACACAACTGAGAACCTGTTATAAAAGAAAAACCTAAAACAAACAAAACAAACACTGAAATAAATCTATTTAACCTATCAAAACGGAGGAGGACTATGACTGGCCTTCCACAAACACAGGGAGGGCAAATCAGAGAAGTTGTAAAAGCTACAGAACATTTTTGATACAAAAGTGGACATACTAGCCATGGATAAACTTAAGTCAGAATTTTATACATTTATAACACCAAGAGGCTTTTCAGTAATGATAGTTTCAACAGAGAACTTGTTCAAGTTAGTGGAGGGATTACAGAATGAGGCCACCTTTCACAACTGACAACATTCAGTAACTCAGCAAGTCCCCTCCAGCTTTTCTATTCATGAGTGACAAGTGTACTAAAAATTAGCTATGGAAATATAAGCGAATAATTTCAAACAGCAAACAAACAAGCAAAAATCATGATCGAAATCAGCAGTGTTTTTCCTCAGGGAGTTATCCATTCACTCAATGTTGTTAACAGCGGAATGTGGCTCTGTATTCCAATTACTACTGACTGGCAGATATTGAGTGTTTATATCATCTTTCATTACACAATATGTAGCATACCAATTTGACTTCACATTTTACAGATGTTCTAAAGGTATTTCTTGCTTTTCATTTTGTCTTTCAGTCAAAAATCCATGTGTGTAATTGACAATTACTTTATTACCTCTTTCATAATAGAAATAATTAATTTTTTTAAAATCAACTTCAAAATAACTTTTTCAGTTAGAAGTTAATGAAGGAGACAATCTGTCTTACTCTATGCTGTAGGTCCATATATTTTTACTTTAAAAATCTTTACATACTTTATTTGGTAATCTTCCTATGTCACTGAACTACTTTACTGTTGATTATCGTGAAAATAAAAATCCAGAAGGATGGATTCTTTTGGAAATAGAAGAAAATATTTATGGAGTAAAGTGCATAAGCAATATCTGCATCTTAGTAGCACGAGTTTAGCCACTTTAGAAAAGAAGCAAACAAAATAATCAATAATTAAAGGTATTATTGGAAAGTAGAAAAAAATCCAGTTAAACCTAAAAAGGAAAGGATACTTAAAAATAAACAACATTTACTAGTCTACAAAATGGTAAAAAGTTACAGAGACAGAAGAGCCCTTCAAAGCATCAAACATCTAATTTATCAACAAAAGAAACAGACACTGAATTTTTTAATCCTCTATAAATTATTAGGTGACAAAACCAATCAGCAATCTCTCAAGAAAAAATAAACAAAAATTAAGAAAGCAAAGATTGTGTCAGAAAAAGTGACCAAAAAAGGTAACATGTAAAAAGGAACAAAAATTCCACAGTTAAATTTATGTTATATTACAGGATAATATGTGTTGCCATGGAGCAAAGATTAAAACTGTGACCAGGTGGCCCTCTGCTGTTCGATTTGTTCCTTTGCAAACTTTTTTTGAGCAGGACCTTTTGGGAGATTCTTCTATCAAATAAGCAACTTCGGGATTTCAGTCCAAAAGGAATATTTCATTTGTTCTAAGGAAAGGCTGACACAAACCGAACTAGTTTAAGGAAAGCAGAAAAAATGTAAGCATCTGATGAAAGTCACCTTTCATTGTGGCAGCAAAAGAGCTACCCCAAAGAAGAGAGGCTCAAAACCAAAACTAATATGTACAGAACAGCATTTTACAGCATGCCTTTTTGTCACACAGATTAGAAGATCTTGAGAGAGATTCATATCACTGGGGAAAACAGTATTTAAGGCAGTGTTTATTTTGTACTGTAGTCATAACCAGTTTGCACTGCTTACCACTGAGGGATCTTTTAGAGGTTTGAAATTTTAGAACCAGATTCAATCCTAAACTTTCCACACAGAATAGCAAATCCAGAAGGTAATGCCATAGGGGTCAGCAGGTCTTCTTATGGAATTGGACCCTGCTTAGAAACAGGAATCTTATTTCTGATTTATTTAATACTAGATCCACCACTGTGTTAGCTGTATAGATGCACACACAACAACTGCCCATAAAGGTAGGGATAAAAGAAATATCTTCATTCACACCTCATGCCACTTTTTTAAAATGTCAAGCAGAACTACCGCACAAAAACCTTAAGTGACACAAATAGAAACCCATGGCAGATACAAGAACTGCACATGTTATCTTGAAATTTTATCCTTTAAAAAAGCAAAGCTATTTCTTATAAACAAAATAATAGTCTGCTCATAAAAAAATACAGCATTAGCAGAAAAGGCATGGCTATCTCCAAATCAGAGATAATACATGTTGTTATTAATCTGTAGCCTAACACCATATTAAATTAAGCTATGATCTCATAAGTTAATGAAAAAAGACATGACAGAAACAACACATCGATAGTCTCAAAACTACCAGAGTGCTTGAAAGACACTGAATTAATCTTCCTAATGTGTATGGACTCTCTTCTCTCTACGTTCCCAACTTTCTAGGACACAATTTCTGTTAGTATTCCTCCTTACTAAGCACACATCCCTAACAAAGCACCTCACAATGGGAGTTAAGTTTGCATATTGAAATCATGCACATACCTGCTGCAATGCAGAGATGTCAAGCACACCAATATTTTGAATTCCTTGGAGGAACACTGGAAGGTTTTCCATGACATGGTGGGCTTTACTGAGAAGAGAGCTGATACTAGAAACCACATCCAGTAGCACATTTAGTACATTGCCTATCTCAGATGGTATCTTAATCTTGGAAAAGAAGGAAAAATCACAACAATAAATTCCAATTAGAAACAAATTTTAACCTTTCAATGAAACACTCAAAATTATTCAGTCTTTTTCTAAAACTGATTATACAACGTTCCTGCAAACCATGTTTACCAAAACTCATTTTAGTATAACTCCCCAGTTACTCTCAAATTCAGCTAAAGAAAAATTCTCTCGTAATGTTAGAACTGGCCTATGACAAATCAGGAATTAAAATACAGGGAACATGTTCATACCTACCAAGATGAAGAGAGCTCTCCTACCCAAGATGCTGATGGGACCTGCAACATCCTGCCCCCTCGGAATTCAGTGTAAATGAGAACTTTTCCTTCAACGGGTTCAAGATGCTCAATGCAAGAGTTTAATATTTTAAAAATAATTCATAAGTTAAATTAAATCTAGCAACCACTTTAGTTGCTTTAGGAGTCATATTAGACAACGAACTTTCCTGTCACACTGTTCCTCCCTTTGCATTTTTCATACACACTGCCTTTTACCTAAAATAATTGTGCGCGTTTCATTCCTTACTTGACTAAAGTTCAATTGGCTGTTTACTGTTTCCACCATGCAAGTTTTGGCATTATGAATTTTCTCTCTATTTCCTTTGTTTTTATAGGTTATTTAGATGATATGGTAATACAAACTGATTCATTGTTACCTGCCTATGCATGATAATAAGAACAATATAATCTCACTATATACTTTCAGCTGCTTCCTCTGATTGTCTTTATTTTATCCACCTTTATTTGACTTCCTACAATAATAATGTCTGTGCCTAATTTTCTTCTCAGCCTTCACCTGCTTTTACACATTAAAAAAAAAGAAACTGTAAAAAAAAAAATCTTATTCGGTTAAAAAATTAGCAAATCTTCCGTAATAATTTAGGATGAGCTGACAACATTTTTTATTCTTTGCTAGGAATTCATTCAGTAGGGTTCAGTAGAAAAGCCCATCAGAAGGAGCATTGCCTTTTTTATTTTTCCCCCCTCTAGGTTGGCAGATAATTCAGAAAGAAATCTTTTCTTTCGCCTCTGGTATCTTAACCTATTCTGGGAAATAGTCTTGTTTTTAAAAGTGTGTGGCCAACTTGTTTAACTGCGTGTGCAGCACCTAGAATATAACCCAGCATCTATGGCTTTAGAACAAAATATTCTTCCTCCCAATGTTATAACTATTTTTCAACTATTTGTACTTACAACATTTTATGTTCTGTCAATCAATTACCCCAAAAGAACTCAAATAGACGTCTGCTAACTATCCCATCCAATAATTTTGCTCTTACAAGTAAAAATGTTATCTCACTGAAAACCCATACCAGATCCCAGATTATCTACAGTTGTACAGATAAGACAGTTTTGCTAGAGATTTCTGCATCCCCTTCATTATATTTTTGGCAATGTATTATTCTTGTCAAAGTTGTTTGACTTGGGTCATATAAAATATGGGAGGTTTGCCCTTGTAGAGAGATTAATCCTGAGAGCTGGAAAAGCTCCTTCCTGAAGGAGCCACCTGAATTGCCAACATTCCTACAGCAAATAAAATGCATTCCAGAGTGCTATGAATTCTTCCCAGAAAAGAATTTTGTAATTCTTGTAATGTGAGCTCCTATGCTTGTTTTAGTTCCAATGATGCCAGATCAGTCTTCCTCACTTACAAATTAAGAAGTGACTAATTGCATGAACTGCAAACTCTGCTAAAGATTAATAAATCTACATCTTTTACCTCCTGTTTTTTCTCTAAAGCTTTCGTAATTAACTCCTCAGTGATAATTTTCCTGAGGAATCAATAAATGGAATACTGTAGCATCTACCAACCCCGTTCTTCAACTGTTGTGTTTGCTTTGTGGAGGTAAATGAAGACAAAAAATACCATATGTCCAGTGTTTGCTTCTACAGAGAAAGAACATCTGAAGAAATAACAGAATTATTAATTTATCCACCTACATGCTTTACACCACCCTGAAAAAAGAAAAACATAGGAACTGAATGCTTTTTTTTCCCCCATCTTACCTTGTAAATGATATGACGTAAGTTCAAATTCTGTATAATCAGTACAAACATGGTATACAAGTCCAGTGCTGGTAAAGAACATAATTCTTCCACCACCAGGGAAGTTTTACTGTTTTCAGGTAGGTTTAGGAGCAGGCTAAGTACTTCTTCATCACATCTTCCAGATAAAGCTACCAAAGAGGCACTGTAAAAAACCTGTCATAATATATGTGTATTAAAATTTTTTCCTCCCTGAAATGCATCACCTTCTTTTATAGTCAATAAGGTGAGAATTTGTGTCACATTAACATGACAATTTGCAGTCATCAGCAGACCTGAAATAACGAACTATACAGCTCTATATCAGATTGGTATGGTCTTACTTTATATTCTATGTACATATAAAGAGATTAAGTATATTTCTTATAAAGATTTACTTATATTTATGAATAGGTCAATTATTCATTCTATGAGCATTCATACCATAAGCAGGCATATTTACAATGCTGAACATACCCATTCTAGCACATATACACCTTTGTTGCAGAAACACCTAAAGATCAAAATCTAGATATATGAATCACTAAAATCAAGCAATATGGACCTTCCTTCTTTCAGATGACATGGACATTTAACACTCAGGGATGACTATATGGCACAATATTCATTCTGAGACAGATCACACTTCTCAGTTCAACACTCCTGTGAAGTGTTATTATTTAATAGTGGATGAAGGGACAAATGCCTAAGCAGACCTCAGGCGAGACTGCAATAAAAACTCCTTGGATAATGGTGGTTTGTTTCTTCCTACAAAAATGACACAGCAAAAGACGAATTCTTGCAGCCCAGATATCTCAGGAGTTCTTAGCTACCCTTTCTCCTGAAATGCCTGAAAGAAAGCAAATAGCAGTGAGTCCAGAAAAATTACAAGTTCAGAGCCTGTAGGAGCCAAAGTACAGTACTCAGGGGTCCATTGTACTCCTTAGAACAGAATCTGCCTGTACGGCCCCCACTGAATGCATCTATAGCTAGTAACAGTATTCAGTGAGGGAGAGGATCCCCAAGAAAATCAAATTAGGAGCCAAAGCTGGTCAAGATATGCAATTTAACTCTTTAATTCCTATGAACGTTTTAATTTCCAACTTATTAATTTGACTTTTAGATTTTTATTCCGGAACAGAATTTTGCTTTTATTAATCCAAAGGATTTCCTATATATCTAAATACTCACTTTTTTGTGTGTGTACAAGGACCAGAATACGAATATAAATACAATTCTTCCAGCAGCATAAAGGATACTGATTTGGATGACTTCTTGTGGAGGAAATTTGACTCTGTGAAAAATTTGAAATTTATTTCCTCATGCCCCACATGAATATCACCATTTCAGTCCAGTTTTAACCCATTCCATGTTTTATCCCCTAGATTATGTCCTTCTGAACTTTCTTTGCAGTTTTGTGAGTACCAGAGCTAATCCAAACTCCTGTGTTCAGTAAATGAATGCTTATAGTCTTCAGGTTACTAGTTTTGAGCAGTTTCAAAACACTTAATCACATGGCAATCAGCATGGCCAGAGCATAATATTGTGGTAGAAATTCAGGGTAAGTGCAATAAGCACAAACAACTTGCAGGATTACTCTTACCGCTCCAGAGGCAAGCACAGCAGTAGTATACAATCACAGAAATACGGGACTGCAGTGGGTCTGCAGCTATCATTAGGGTTATCAGACAGTAGCTATATAAATCATAAACATAATGGGCATGCTTCACTTATAGCTTAAAAAAAGTACTTGTGCATCTTGTATAATCAGTAAGAGACATAGGCTTTAATGCTTCAGTTGGACTGGGAGAGTATTTAAGCACTTACGCAAACAAAAAATTCTGTATAGATATGCAAATGGGAGACGTGTACATATATGTAAACTCTACATAGGACTTAGACAAAAAATAAGGATAGAAAACAATTTGAAAATTCAGTCAATTAGCATTATTATTCCAAAAGATCAAAGGTGCACCAAATCCCATTTAACTGAATTGCTTCCAGATGACTTCTCTCATTACCATTTACTGGTATCAAAATAACAAGCTAACAATAAATGCAGTGACACTGCCAAAGAAGCAGAAGAAGAAACCATCTATAAATAGTTGTGACGGTCTGAACTGCCTTTTTAATAGCCACACTTTTCAGAACAAAACTTGCAACTGTTTCTGCAAGTGGAGCATCAGTGACACCCAGTGGCTGCTTGATCGACCTGATTAGTTTATACCAAATGTACCCTCCAACTCTTTTCAGTTATACAAACATCAACAGGAACCTGTAAGTTAGGTAGCATTTTTCATTATTTCTACTAATCACTGGGATCACAGGAAACAGCAGCAATGATAACACAGAGTCCTTCACTCAGAAAATTTACACAATCCACCCTTCAGAAAATACTCAAGAGACAACAGATAAATAAAGCGGAGGTAAGGCAAGATACTGGTAAGATAACGTAAGTGAGGAGCACACAAAGGAATACAAAAAAATCAGACAACTCTGTACTGCAAGGATCAGTGGGAAGATACAAAATGATTTCTCCAGGAACCTTCACCTTTTCTACAGTACCAAGATAGCAAAGCTCAAATTCTGTGTCAGCACAAGGGGACAAAACACTGCTGAAAGTAATGAAGTGGTGCCATTTAGACCAGAAGACTAGTGCTACTATAAATTGATCTCTTAATGCTTCACATTATTATTTTGAAGTCCTAAATCTCAAAAAATATTCCACATAGAAGTGACAAGTGAAAATACAACATTCCACACAAACAAGGTGGTTTGGTTTGTTTCAGTTGGCACATCAGGCTATAGGTTGATCCATTAATTTAACATCTCTTTTCGATCTTTTACCTTTGAATGAGAGATGCTGGCTTCCAAGATGGTACTGATAGTTTCTTCAGAAATATTGACAGAAGAACCAATGTCCAGCCTCAACTGAGTAAGATTCTGCACACACTCTTTGACTTTCACATCTGGAAGAAAAGAAAAACAGTACCAATCTGCTTAATTAAATTGCACACAGACTGTATCCTTTTTGTTAGATTTATTCTGAGGGGTGATAAAGGACACAAGAACTTCATATCATGTAATTCACTTCTACTAAATGTAAAGGTCATTCTCCTGGCAAACTGAAGGACTTGTGCATCTGTTTGCACTGTCATATAAGAGCAGAGGTTATCGCACATCCCTGTATTATGAGAACATCTGAAATTGATGAAGTAGCCCTTAAACCTTTAAGATTTTCTTTTTCCACTAACTTAAGTCGCCTCTTCTTTATAATGAATCCCTGCATCTTTTTGGACAGTCTCTGATTAGGGTAAACTATGCTGTCCTGTGCCAACTCAAGCGCATGTATGTGCATGTGTACAATGAAAATATATTGCATTAAGTCAGTCGTCTCCATAACCAGTATTCCTTTAAAATTTGAAGAACAATGAAAAAGTTATTGTCCTGCAAAATTACACAGCAGTGACTTGTAAAAAAGTGAAGAAAACTGGAACTTACCATTCAAAAATTTAAACTTGCTGAGAAAAGCTGCCACTGGATTTTCTGACAACTGTAGCTCCAAACTTTCAGCCACCCTGAAATGATAGCCTTAGTTTCACAAGTTATCAGAACTAAGTCATTGACATTATTATGTATAAAGAGTAACGTGAATACCGAAACAGCCACTAAATGAGGCAAAAAGGTCTCAACATTGTCTATGTGCACACACTGTGCGTGCAGTAAGCAACTCTACAGACCTTCTTATGCTGTATTTATATGGTGCAGGGATCATCATATTTCATGCCTAAACGAGATTGCAAATGTAGAGATCTTCCCATTATGGCTAAGTGTTCTAGCAAAGAGTAGCTTATGAAGAAGCACGGGTCTAGCAATGTCTCACTTCCATGTTTCTTACTGAACACATGTTTTTAAAACCTAGAGATACAAAGCACTGCAGTTCAGGACAAATGAAGTCTATCTAATTGTAATTTAAGTAATAAAGAGTATACGCACATCAGATATTTACCATTCAAAAACTGGACATGAGCCTGTGGTCCATAAGAGCAGCATCTAAGCTCAAGTTCTTCTGTACCATTACTATAATTCACAGATACCATTCAAGCTCATTACAGAAACAATCTAACAGTCAAGCCAGTATAGCAACAATTATAACAAGGACCACTTCTAACTGACAGCATGTTTGAAATACTCTGTAGTAGCAGTTTTTTTCACTTACTTAAAAACTACTATTCTTCCTCAGGGGAATAGCAAATATCTGAAATTATTTGGAGTTCAGGTCTGTCAGTTTACAAGCACTATCCTGTGCTTCTGACTGTTTGAACTGCTGCACTGATCTGAATGTTTAATGTTTTGCAAAAGACACCCAGCTACTGAGAAGACAAGGCCATAGCAAAACGGCTTTAAAAAAAAAATTAGGATATCAAAATTTTGACCCGAGGTCATGGAAAATTGAAAATTATCTTAGTTGTGATTCAAAGCATTTTCCTTGTGAAGCAGAAAGTTCTGCTGCAAGTGCTAAGCAAAAGTATAAGGGCTTTTAGAAATACCCAGAATTTTGCTCAATTACTTAAATAATTTGTGCATTGTATCCGCTCAATTTTCGGTTAAACAAAGAAAGCTTGCAGAGACTTTGATAAACTCCTGTAATGTATTTCTCCTGTAATTATATAATTTAGAATACAGACATATGCACAAAATAACATCTCTAACAAGAACCATTTGGGGTACCACAATGTAAAAGGCTTTACATTTGCAGTCGTCTCTGTATGTTCCCCAACATTAGTTGACATTCACAGCTGCCATTGCTGGTATTCTGCAAGGCTCTCAGGAAGCTCTCCAAAGTATCGGAAAGTTTTTGGTTTATATATGCCATACTCTCACAATCCTCCTTGTTGAAAGCAGGCCACATTCTTTCAATATCCTGCAAAACACAGTGATCATATAGGTAACAAATTCATGAGATTGTTAGTGCTTGAAGTAGCAGGTCTTGGCAACTAGATGATGCACATTTTCAAATGAGAATATAGGTAAGGTAATACTCTTTTACTCATTATATTTGTAATTGAAACTGGGCAAAAGGTTTTCAAGAACGAAGAAATTTTGAAACATTTGAGTTTTTGGAAACAACCAAAAATATTTGTGAATTTGACCTAGCCTGTCAAGGAGATTCACCCATTAACAGAAATATCAACATTTTCATTTGAAATTTAATTTCAAAATGAAATGAACTTTTTTTTTTATTATTTTAGGCTGGCCATCTTTATCTTTTTCCAAAAAAATTGTTCTAAACAACATCAGTTTCCATTCAGCAAATGAAAATATCTGGATACCCATATCCAAAGTTTTTCTTCCATTATGCTTTGTGTAATATTCACTTTTATCTTTTCTCCTGAATATTCATATTTCTGATTTTACATTTTTTTTTAATATTTGCAGAAGAAGGTCATAGAATGGTTGCGACTACAGAAACGCATTTGTTCCGCAAAAGTCTACTTTGAGATATGAGTGATGCCTCTGAAGTCTGTTTACCTTAAAACATTGCTGTTCATATCAGCAAAATGTCCAGGTAGACAAACCAGCAGAGCTATTTCATAAAAAGGAGGCAAATTCCATACTAAAAGCGTGACTTTAGTATTTTGTCTGTGTGTGCACACATGTGTGCGCTATCCAAAGGCCTGCTTCCAACTCTGGATGAGTCTCTAAATGCCAAATGTTACTCTCCTGCTGGTAATTTCATGTACTGTTAAAGAAAAACAGACTGACCCCAACTGGTAACGACAATTGCTATTTTAGCTTGAACGACTGGCTAAGAAGTTTATTTGTATCTAGCTTGATTTCACAGCTGTTCCTGTGAAATATACTTAAAAGTATAAATGCACTCTGATTCATGAAATTAGCAGTGTCACAAAGTTTAAAGGAATTAAAAACGGGCTGCTGTTTGGTATTGAATGGCAATCTAGTTATTCTAGTTATAGGAATTCTAGTAATTCTAGTTATATTTACAGCTTTCAGAGCTCACCAATGTTTACTTAAGGATTTCCTTCTTCGTATCACTATCAAAAGCATCAGAGCTATACCCATACAAACCTCAGATTTGTATAGCCACTGTGGGGACTCATCATTTAGACAGTAGGAAAAAAAGAAGAAACTTCCATTAGTTTCCAAAGTTTAATGCATGTTGTAAAGAACAGTTGTAGGTGTGGAAACCACTCAAACCTGATAATGATCTCGAACCAGAGTGATTCCTTCAATGACAGAGAGGATTAAGTGACTCGTTAATCCACGTTTACACTTTGTAACAACACAGAAAAGGTTGCCAATGACAATTGGTTCTTCTGTAAGAGAAAATGTCCAGGCTTAATCAGTTAAAAAAGTTACTGTAATCAGATGACAAGTTAACCAAATAATAAAGAACAGAAAAGTTTTTAAAAGCAAAGAAAGTCTGATGTGTTAAGGCACTGAGAAATATTTCTGGCTAAATTTATTTATCATTGCAAAGGGCAAGAAGGGCTAGTTTGATTCAATTTCCATTATTCTTCTCCATTACACTTTCCTGATCAATAATAAGAACAGCAACACCTGCTACAGAACCAGAGAAGAAAACTTCATTTTTGCTCTTTGTGATCAAGAAGCATGACTCTGAGAAGCTGTATATATTAACCTTATCTGCCTTCTCCTCAGGCAGGCTTCCCTGATCCTATTTGCCTGTGGAGACATCAGGATGTTACTAATCCTCCAGCAAGTAGTAACTTTCAAACCCTAGCTGCAAGGGGAGGGAAACAGCGTTACGTAGACATTTAGCATATCTAGGGATAAAGAATCCATATAGGGGATATTTATCACCTGATCATCCACGGAGAAAGTTTCTACCCAAGCTTGCAACCCCCAAGTCCCTGGTAAAAAGTTCCATTCCCCTGCCTCTAGTGGGTTTGTACATGGCATAGCAGGGAAGGAGTTTGACTTGATAGTTGAATTCCAGTTTATTGAAGGATCAAGTTCTTTTTTTTCCCCTCATTTTTTTTTTCCTTATGTTTGGTAGAAGAAGGAAGAAGAATAAACATTCATCACTGCTCCTAAAACAAGCAAATCTTGATCTTGCTCGCAGAAATAATACAATGCAACTCAGTAATGCAAACCAAGTCAAACAGTTTTCATCTTTTCTCGTTAGGTTTCATAATGTTTTCTGTGTCAAATGAAACATTATGAAACATCCCTATGACCAGAGTATTGAAATAAGAATGACAAAAATTTAGTTCCTTAATCTCAGTTCTCTCAATAAATAGACTGTTCTTCAGAGGTCAAAGACATATCCCAGGTACCTGACACACATTTTCAGTATCACTTATTCTGAGCTCAACATTGCTACTGTTTTACTCTTTGGGAACTACATCAGTCACAGGAGAGTGGAGAAGATAGTCAGGATTGGGTTGTAATCACATTTTATGTTTTGTTTGGAAATGAAGTTGGCATAAGACATTACTGATCTTATCCCCTGCTCTAGAATGGTAGGTTAATGTCTCCTAATTGCTCTTTACAAACAATTCTGGGCATAGCTGGGTTAAAATACAAAGTTTGAAAAGCAAAGGCTTTCCCCAAAGAAAACATAATATGAAATTATACCCATAGGTCAATACAGAGCCTTTCTTAAAGTGCTCATCTTGGGGACCTATATTCAAGGAATAAAACAAGCCTAACATTAAAATTTGAACAATTTGTTGAAGGTGAAGTTATTCAGCTACAGTTTGCCAATCCACTGGCTCAACATGACCAGAAGTAGGAAGTGCCACTTCCTTTATATACTTGCCCTATTTTTCCTTTCTGTCAGCTATATATTGCCTTGTGGCAACTCTGGCTCATTAAAAAAACCTCTGTGACTTCACTCAGTTCACTAGCCTGGCAGAAAAATACCCAGTAAAAAAGATAAGACAAACCCCAAATGTGTATACAGTCTTCTGATGGGTTGGTAAGCCAAATCAAAAAAAGAAGAGGTCCTGGTGTGTCAGAGTAAGCCCAGGA